GAAATTTTACCACCGGAGACTAACAGTCATGGAAAACGCTCCATCACATTCCCGACTACTTCAAAAAAATGCCAAATTGAACAAGGAGAAAATCGGATACTATTAGTTTTATTTTAATCTGAAAAGCGTTGATTTTTCCTCGGTAGAAAAAATAAAAAAGCGATTTTTGGAAAGAAATTTTAAAACTACGCAGTCGACAAAATAGCAGTAATATGGTTTTCAAAGACTGAGATTACCTCCTTACTTTATTATTTTCAGGTCAGAAAAGGCAAGAAATTTTCACCCCATTTCGGTTGGCGAATTTTGCCACCGGAGACTGTGATAGTCATGGCCAACGCCCCATCACAATTCACGGTTAGCTCAAAAAAAATCCAAATTGAACAACGACAAAATCGGACACTATTAGTTTTTTTAATTTGAAAAGCGTTAACATTTCCCGGTAACAAACATGAAAAGGCGAATTTTGGAAATACCTTTAAAAAATCCATGCAGTCGACTAATAGCATAATCGTCTGGTTTTCAAAAACTGTGATTATAATCTCCTTGATTTTGTATTTTTAGATCAGAGAAGAAAACAAATTTTCACCTCGTATCAGTTGAAAAATTATAGCACCGGAGACTAACAGTTATGGACAACACATTCACGAAGTCTTCAAAAAATTCCAAATTAAGCACCGAGAAAATCGGATACTATTAGTTTTTTAATCTGAAAAGCGTTAATATTTCCTCGGTAGAAAAAATAGAAAAGCGATTTTTGAAAATAAATTTAAAAACTTACGCAGTCGACGAAATAGCAGTCATATGGCTTTCAAAGACTGAGATTACCGCCTTGCTTTAGTATTTTCAGGTCAGAAAAGACAAGAAATTTTCAGCTCATCTCGACTGATTAATTTTGCTACCAGAGAATGTGAAAGTCATGGACAACGCCCCATCACAATTCACGGTTCCCTCAAAAAAATCCAAATTGAGCTAGGAGAAAATCGGACACTATTAGTTTTTTTTAGTTTGAAAAGAGTTAAAATTTTCCCGGTAACACAAATGCAAAGGCAATTTTTGGAAATAACTTAAAAAAACCCATGCAGTCGACGAATAGCATAATCATCTGGTTTTCAAAGACTGAGATTATAATCTACTTGATTTTGTATTTTTAGATCAGAGAAGAAAACAAATTTTCACCCCGTGTCGGTTGACAAATTATACCACCGGAGACTAATAGTTATGGACAACGCCCCAACACATTCATGAAGGCCTCTAAAAATTCCAAATTAAGAACCGAGAAAATCGGACACTATTCGTTTTCTTTAACTGAAAAGCGTTCAAATTTCCTCGGTAGAAAAAATAAAAAAGCGATTTTGGAAATAAATTTAAAAACTTTATGCAGTCGACGAAATAGCAGTCATATAGTTTTCAAAAACTGAGATTACCTCCTTGCTTCAGTATTTTCAGGTCAAAAAATACAAGAAATTTTCACCTCATTTCGGCTGATTAATTTTGCTACCAGAGACTGTGATAGTCATGGACAACGACCCATCAAAATTCACGGTTACCTCAAAAAAAAAAAACAAATTGAGCTAGGAGAAAATCGGACACTATTAGTTTTTTTTAGTTTAAAAAGCGTTAAAATTTTCTCGGTAACACAAATGAATAGGCAATTTTTGGAAATAACTTTAAAAAATCCATGCAGTCGACGAATAGCATAAACATCTGGTTTTCAAAGACTGAGATTCTAACCTCCTTGATTTTGTATTTTTAGATCAGAGAAGAAAACAAATTTTCACCTCGTATCAGTTGAAAAATTATAGCACCGGAGACTAATAGTTATGGACAATGCTCCAACACATTCACGAAGGCTTCAAAAAATTCCAAATTAAGTACCGAGAAAATCGGATACTATTCGTTTTTTTTTTCTGAAAAGCGTTCAAATTTCCTCGGTAGAAAAAATAAAAAAGCGATTTTGGAAATAAATTTAAAAACTTTATGCAGTCGACGAAATAGCAGTCATATAGTTTTCAAAAACTGAGATTACCACCTCTTTGCTTCAGTATTTTCAGGTCAGAAAAGACAAGAAATTTTCACCTCATCTCGGCTGATTAATTTTGCCACCAGAGACTGCAATAGTCATGGACAACGCCCCATCACAATTCACGGTTACGTCAGAAAAATCCAAATTAAACTAGCAGAAAATCGGACACTATTAGTTTTTTTTAGTTTAAAAAGCGTTAAAATTTTCCCGGTAACACAAATGAAAAGGCAATTTTTGGAAATAACTTTAAAAAACCCATGCAGTCGACGAATAGCATAATCATCTGGTTTTCAAAGACTGAGATTATAATCTCCTTGATTTTGTAACCTCAGATTAGTAAAGAAAATCAAATTTAACCTCATCTGGGTTGACAAATTTTACTACTCGGCACTGTGACAGTAATGGACAACGCCCCATCACATTGACGACTACCTCAAAAAAATTCCAAACTGAGCAACGAGAAAATCGGATTCTATTAATTTTTAAAGTGAAAAACGTTAATATTTTGCACTTTTCTAATAAAAAGCGCAAACAAGGTGAACATTGCTTTCACAGTATTCAACAGTGTATTTTATGCACAAAAAGTAAAAAACAACTTTCACGAAAACAAACGCTAAAATATTTAAATCATAGTTAAATTTGCACCAGCTGCGTTAACATTGACATAAATGTATTTGCAATTTAAAATAGACATTGTTCAGTTGTAAAAGGCGTTAAGCTAATAGATATTGACTTTTGCATATTTATGCAGAAAAAAGTTTATAAAAGGTTATGGGGAACAAAATGTACGAAAGGGAGGTTACAGACAAAATAAAGACATGTGACAAATATAAATATTTTGGGGTGAAAACACAGAGCAAAAGAAAATTCCTTGGAAATAAATGAACGCTCGAGAAGCTATAATATATAAATTTAAAATATATATATAAGTGTTCACCATACAAAATTTTACATATCCAAACATTCGTAAATAATAACTTAGGGAAAACCATCCAGAACTTTAAAAAAACGTACATTCTCAAGAGTTCTATGCTAAGGTTAGAAAATAGTCAACATTTAAAAAAGTAGTAATTCGGCGAACAAATATTGACTAAAAAAATCTACTTTTGTGACAGTTATATAAAAAGATTTGTTTGATATTGCCGTAACGAGTAAAATGTGTGATTTTTTTTAATTCACAGACTACTAATAATCACTTCATTTTGGATCGTCTCTTAAACAAATATGTATTCTTAATAGATACGTTAAACCATGTACAAATTCGTCTCGATAAAAAACGTAATCGACACTGTCTAGTACGAAAAAGCGGTGCTCCAAACTTAATTCATCATTATTTAAATTTTTAACTATCTGATGAAACCAAATCTTGGTAAACTTAAATATATAAAAGGCGCAGATTTAAAAAATGATACAAATGAATAAAAATAAATTATTTTCATTACCGTTACTTTATTTTACCCCACTCACATCTCTCACAAAAAAATTGACATTCTTCGTTACTTTCGATCCCTCTGGCATTGCAAGTGCCATATTAAGGCACGTTGAAGGATGGGTTTACAGTTATTACGGTTGCAAATGCACTTTTGCATACAATTAGCTCAGGTAAAAGTGCATTCACTCGATCGCTCGTAGAAAAAAAAATGTATGTGGGTCAATCGAACACGCATTTTATCCTAGTTATGAATTTATGAACGCACGTAACGTAAAACTGCCATAAATCATGCTAAACGGTCGTATGTCAGCTATTAATGTACGGAAAAATTTAATTGACATCATTAGTTTACTTAGGAGCGATTCGCTAAATGAGCAAAACTTGTTTTTTTTTTATTTGCAAGTGGGTGTGCCGGCTTTTGTGATACGATCCACGACTGTATTTGACAAGTTTTTGACACTGATGACCTTCAAGATAGGTTTATTTTAAACAAATAATAGTTCGAATGTTTTTTCTGCAGCTGTCATCTGCTTATTGTTATCTTATTATGGTGGATATAGTGGCCTTCGCCAGATAAGTTCACAAACTAACCTTATTAAGTTACATATTTACAATATATACTCTATTTTTGTTATTAAAGCAAATATAAATTTAAAAAACGGTTGTCCTTTATGAACTCACCGTGATTTCACTGAAAAAAATGTGTAGCTACGAAAAAAACAAAAAAGTACGACGAACAAAAGAAATTAAATTTTTACAATACTTCAAATTGAGGTTATGTTCAAACAAAAGTCCGTCACAAACGATAACTTATCACTAATAAATAAAAAAACAAGTCCATCCACACGACCCGCCACTGCGCGATGACTCACGATAACAACAAATTCCTATTAATAATCATGACAGCGGCAATAAATCGCGATTTCGCAAAAAAAAAGCGCAAAACACAATCACAAAACCCTACAAAGCCACTTTCGACCCCAAAATACATACATAAGCATACATTTTGCTGCTTCGCTGCGTGCACTACTTTTCAAAATAAATAACTGACACAGAGTTGGGGAAAAAAAGCAAAAAAAAACGGGTCACATGTAAGCCACAAACACAACAAATCTATTTTAACACAACTCACGACGTCGACCGCAACCAAATGATGTTATGTGCTGTGATGTCACACTGTTATTGAAAGTACTGGATGACATCACTTATGGTAATGAAAGTTTGAATGTGGAGGGTCAAGCTGGAACAGCATCGGTTGCAGACAAATAGGACTTACACCAGCGCCTGTTAAATATCGTTTGGAGCGTCTCTTCGAGTTTCGACGCCTTTCGAAGTCCATTACTTTAAATGACTTGATCACTAATCAGTTGCCGTACGAATGAGGAGGCGCCAATTCGCTTACCTAGTTCGTGATAAGATAACGACATTTATTTAAATATCTTACAAACACGAGTCATAAACAGCACAATAAATTGCAACTGACTAGAGATAAGGCGGTTTACGAAACTTATTTCCATTTGAACAGCCCACACTTCGAGTACTTACAAAGCTCCCGGATTTGGCCTTCTCCTGTCGGGACATCGTCGATTCTCATTCGCCGCCTAAAAGACAATAAGGGTAACCAAAACAATCGATCGTTTCCAGTTTTAATCGCTTACACTTCGCAAATAAACATAAACACGGAAGTGTTGACATAACCTCACTTTTTCCACTCGATTCAAATTAGCACTTTTTAACGTTCATTAGATCGGGCTTCGTTGTTTGATTATTGTTTTAGTCACTAGTCATGCAACATTTTCGCATTTACACTTACTGGTTTAAAAATTTGACCGTTGATTCTTCGTTAACCTGTCATGGCGCTCTCTTCGCTCTAACACTAACTAAAGTTTAAACTGGTAAATCTACTTCCGGTTCGGTTATTAAGTCTATTTTTAAGATTTCGGTTAAGTTTGCGGTTTTCTGTTATCTAATGTACTTGAAAAACGAATTTGCATGGAACGCCCGCATTTACTACCGTATCACTTTTTTATGGTATGTGGGTTCATTATGGTCGTGATGGTAGACAGATAATCAAAATTATTATTACCGTTTATCAGTACCTGGGCGATAAACTATATGCAAAAAAAAAATACAAAAAACTACGTTTGGAATGGAATCAGTCGATTTTCGGGTTTTAACAAAATGGCGGATGTATAGGCAACCAACAATACACCGAGACGTTCTAATAAATAACAAAAATAGATAAAAGTGGAATTAATTTAAATACTATTGTAATCAATGTGTTTATTTTGATCGTCAGAAATTCATATACAACGTCAGCAAATTGTATTTGATACTTAAGACGCTATAGAAATATGGCTTTTTGTTACGCTCCGCCCCTCGGTCTGACAACGAATGAAAAATTCATCACAATTGAGCTTGGGATCGATATGGATGGAGTTTAATTTTTGGCTTGTTTTTTTCTTAATATACATAGTATTCTTTGAACAACACGGTTCTCAAAAACACACAATTGTTTTTTGTTAATATGTGTAGTCATCTTTTCACAACAAGAAACTTACAACATGTTTAAAATGGTGAATTTGTATAGGAACATATCGATTTCGCAATTACCTACGCTCCGCCCCCCGGTCTGACAACGAATGAAAAATTCATCACGATTGAGATCGAGACGGATGGGTGGGGCTTCTCTTTTGGTTTTCTTTTTTAGTTAATACATTTAGTTTTCTTTGTATAACACGATTATTTAAAAACATATTTCACATGGTAATTTCTCGTAGAAAAGTAAGAATTTTACAATTAAGCTCCTCCCCTCGGCTTACGACGAATAAAAAAAATAATCAAAATTGAGATAGGGCGGGTGGGCGGGGCTTAAATTTTGCCTTCTTTTTCTTAACATACATAGCCATCCTTACACAACAAGAATTTTAGGACATGATTAAAATGGTACAGTTTTCCAAGGAAATATGGATGCAATTATGGGGCGGAGCCTAATTGCAAAATCGATATTTCCTTATACAAATTTTCCATTGTAAATATGTTTTAAGATTCATGTTGTAAAACGAAGTCTGCACATCTTAAAACAAAAAGGTAAAATGTAAGCCCGCCCACCCGCCCTATCTAAATTGTGATGATTTTTTTTTATTCGCCGTGAACCAAAGGGGCGGAGCTTAACTGCAAAATACTTATTTCTTTACATTTAAAACATGTTTTTGAGTATGGTCTTGTTCAAAGAATGCTATGTACATTAAGAAAAAAAGGCAAAATATAAACCCCGCCCACCCACTCCATCTCAATTGTGATGATTTTTTTTTTAGAAACTTAAAACACGTTTAAAATGGTAAATTTTTGTTACGAAATACGGTTTTTGCAATTAGGCTCCGCCCCTAGGTCTGGCAACGAATGAAAACTTCATTACTATTTAGCTCAGGGAAACACGAGCAACGTACGGTAATTTCTTGTAGAGAAATAATAAGGATTTTGCAATTAAATTCCGCTAGGGCGGATTGGCGGGGCTTATATATTGCCTTTGTTTTAATATACGGAGTCGTCTTTTCAGAACTTACAATTAAACCCCGCCCCTCCATCTGACAACGAATGAAAAATTCATCACAATTGAGAATTGAGATCGAGGTGGGTATAGTTGGCGCCTAATCTTTGCCTTAATTTTTTTCTTACTATACATAGTATTCTTTAAATAACACGATAATCAAAAACATGTTTTTAATTTCTCTTATAGAAATATGGATTTTGCAGTTAAGCTCCGCCTTCTTGGCTCACGACGAATAAAAAAAAATTCATCACAATTGAGATAGGGCGGGCGGGCGGGGCTACATTTTGATTTTTTTCTTAATATACGTAGTTTTCTTTTCCCAATAAGAAACTGAAAACATGTTTAAAATGGTAAATTTTTGTAGAGAAATATGGATTTTGCAATTAAGCTCCGCCCCACGGCTCACGACGAATAAAAAGAATCATCAGAATTGAGATAGGGCGGGTGGGCGGGGCTTATAGTTTGGCCATTTTTTCTTAAAATACGACCTGTTCTTTCCACAACAAGAACTTAAAGCATTTACAAAATGGTAAAGTTTGTACAAAAATGTAGATTTTGCAATTACTCTCCACCAATCGGTCTGACAAAGAACGAAAAATTCACCAATGAGATCCGGGCTGGTATAAGTAGGGCTTAATCTTTAGCTTGCTTTTTGACTTAATAGATGTAGTTTTATTTGAACAATGCGATTACTTAAAAACATGTTTCACAAGGTAATTTCTTGCAGAAAAATAAAAAAATTGCAATTTGCAATTTTTGCCCTTTTTTTTCATAATACATAACGAAAGCAAATTAAACGTTCTGAATCAATGCAAATATTTGAAAATCACAAATTTAATACAAACAAAGCAAAGTAAAGTAACTGGACGCAAGTTATTACAGACGTGCCTGGTGGCAAATTTAAAATTATGGCAGTCAACAAAACAACAAAATTTTAATAAAAACCTATGCAAATTTCATTCTAGAGCACAACAAAAATACCCATCGGCCACGTTGTAGCACGAACGGCGTTTGGGGTTCCTGGTCGTGGCTGTTCTCCTATCCACGACGGTGATTCTATCTAACTCGCAGTTGGGTCCCGGCTATTGGGTGGAAGCCGACAGCGTTACGTCATCTCGAGCGCGTCTGAATTCTATTCTAACCTGCATCTTTTGTGCAGTTGGCGCGATAAATTCCGCCAGATCCACTAGGAACCGCGCACTCCGCTTCCGCCTCGTGTTTCTGTGTTATTTAACCTCAATTCCATTTATATGTTCAGTTCACGATATTATATTATGAATTCTGGTGCATTTTCTACGGTCTTTTTCTACAGTGGCGCAACGTTAGGTAACTGCCATAATTGAGCTGTTAGCAATCTTGTGTGAAGAATTAAGAAGCGTTATAAAGTAACACGTAAGTACTAGCATCCAGAAACTTATTCATAACTTTGTTAAACAAAAGACTGAATCCTGACTAAGTGAATTTCACGAAATCTCCTAGTAAGTGATTTATCTAAATAAATTCCTGATTGTTAAATTGTGTTAGCACCAGTCAACGACCAAACTCCTAATATGAATTGTGAATTTACGAACAACGAATTAAATTTACACGTGTTAGCGGCGGTCGAAAATTCACATTTTTCAGCTTCAAAAGCTGCAAGAATTAGCTACACGCGTTGGGGAAACTGAGGCGTCGTCGTCGTCGTCGTCGTTATGCAAATTAATTTAACCCTTCTAACTCATCGCATTGTTACACTCACAGCACACACACACCAAAAGTGCCACTTTCACCACCCTCCACCAAGCAGCCACCTTGTCCCTACTAACCTTCTAACTAAAAATTCCAAGCAGAACTACCAACTACCCAAAAAGCGCTAACGTGCACATGGTTGCCTATATCTAATGATTTTTTTATTGAATTTTTGTTCAAATTCAAATTATTCAAATGTGATTTGGCGCCGCTGTTAATTTTTTTCAGCGCGAAATTTTAATTCAAATTCGGTGACCACAATGTTTTTGAATTCCGAAAAAAACCGATTGTTTTTAACTTTGCGAAAGTGTGATGGGAATTTCGGAATTTCGATGCTACCGCTCGTCTTTGTGGTAGGCGATACAATTCCTTCTAACTAAACATTTAGAAAACTTGAAAAAAACTTCAGAGAAGTTGACCAACTTAAAAAAACTAAAGTTAGGCGTCGTCGCGTCGTACAGTAATAACGCCAGAAAATGAAGCTGCCCTGATTGAAATTATAGTCGAAGCGGCGGACATTAGACTGATCCGCCTCCTCACTGCGGGTTTCCATAATCTCTAAAGACTGACAGAATAAAGTGGACAAGCATCAAAATTTCCTGGGGTGCGATTTTGTTTCTCGATCGAAAAGAACTCGATAGCGATAAAATCTCGTTTGCTGATTGGTTGAGATGCTACATTTCTGTCACATTTCTCGATTCTGTCACGAAATCAAGTCTTCATGGAGTGACATTGTCTCGATAGCTCTGAGTGAAGTGATAAATTTTGGAGACATAACCTCGAAATTTATGTCAAAATAGAAGTTCAAAATCGTAGATAATTCTGAGTTATAAGTTCTTAAAATTAAGGTAACTGTAAACCTTTGAGCATTCAATAAGCTTATATGCAAAGAATAAATGCAAACTTTTGCATTTAAAAGCTACGCAATGACATTTATCGCAAGTGATAATTTATCACTTCGATCGAGAAAAACTCGATAGCGATAAAATCTCGTTTGCTGATTGGTTGAGAGGCTGAGTTGGTGAGATATTTCTGTCACATTTCTCGATTCTGTCACGAAATCAAGTCTTCATGGAGTGATATTTTCTCGATAGCTCTGAATGAAGTGATAAATTTTAGAGACATAACCTGGAAATGGATGTCAAAATAGAAGTTCAAAATCGTAATTCTGAGTTATAAATTCCTAAAATTAAGGTAATTGTAAACTTTTGAGCATTTAATAAGCTTACATGCAAAGAATAAATGCATACTTTGCATTTAAAAGCTACGCAATGACATTTATCGCAAATGATAATTTATCACTTCGATCGAGAAACAAAATCCCACCCCAGGTCTGATTACAGAAAATTTTGAATTCGAAAAGAGAACTTTTTGACACAATATTTTAAACCAAACAGTAGACTGATTTTTTTAAACAATAATGAATCTTTATTTAATAAATTTATTACGGGTATATTTTAGATGGGGACCAGTATTTTTTTTATTACAGATCAATCTGACCCTGTAAGCAATCGAAAAAACTGACGAATATGGACAGTTTGAAAATTACACAGGACGAAACTTCGGAATGAAATGTATAACAATTAACATAAGGTTTGCCAAAATCAATCTTATCTTAGCAGGAACTAGCCCCGCCCACACGCCCTCTCTTTTCTTAGAAAGTATCTCATTAGCCAAAATTAGTCTTATCTTAGCAGGTACAAGCCCCGCCCACCCACCCTCTCGTTTCTTAAACGATATGTCATCTGCCAAAATCAGTCTTATCTTTAAAAATTCTGCTAAGGACTGTGTCGAAGTTTGTATAAATGAATAAAGACCAGCGAACAGTAAGATAAATGTATATTGCTAGTGACAAGTGTTAGATAAATAAGAATAATAAGAATGGAATAGTATATGACCGTGCAGTCGAGATAGTTGAATGTTAGTTACGAATTGAGAATTGAGAATTGAATGTGTATGAATGAGCTAAGAATTAAGAATGAATGCTACCCTGTGTTCCAAGGTGGGGGTGGCTCTGGCTCCCACCCTTACGGGTGGGGAGGGGTGAAACAGGTCCCCGCCAGAGGCTCTAACATAACCCCCCGCCTTGAAACAATTACATTGTTTTAAGATCAAATAAACTATATGGAATATTAGAATGATAATATGATGTAGTAATGATAAATAATACAGATGAAAATACATGAATTGGATGGACATTGTTACAGAAGCAATGAACATGAAGAAACGCATTAACTAAAAAAGATATCTAAAACAAATTGCATGTGTACAATATCAGTGAATACACAATATTTACAATAGACCTAAAAGTAAATTTACAATAATTATAATGTACCAAATCAATGAATAATACGATGAGTAAATAATATGGCGAATGAATATAACAATGGTACAAATATGAATACATAGAACATAGTAAAATAAATCAACAATGAGATGTAACAAATTGACAAGATGTATGCAATATGGTTAAATAGAATGATAATGCATGCGATTGCGAAATTATCTTTTGCACTTCACCGACACTACACACACCACCACTTCCTTTCCAAAATGATGTTGGAGGGCCGCGTCCTAACCGCCACTGTAGACGCGGAAATTTCTCCTCCTTCACGAGGACCCATGTTGCCATTCCTGGAACGTTGGAAGATGGCCTTTGCCACCCTAACCTGCCTTTCAGTATGGTCAAATATTCGAGGTACCACGACTTCCAGAAGTGTTGCTGGTAAGCGTGGATGAGGTGCCAAGGGATGGCCTGTTGATGGGAACGACGGCGTGGTCTTTTTCTGAGGGACCTGTTGATGGCTGGCCGAAAGAGGCATTGGCCAGGTATAAATGCGACCAAATTATTGCGGTCGCTGGACAGAAGCTTCGAGAGGTGCGAATTCAGGACGGCTTTAACCCTGACAGTGAGCGCATACACGCCCTCGCCCTCAAGATGGTTTTTATCAGTAATTTCGTTATACTTCCGGCTATTCATATTTAAACTTTTTGAACTAAGATTTAAACGGTCAGCAACCACGCAGAGTTTAGTGGCAGAAATGTAAAGATTTAAAACATAATTGTGTTGCAGGTAAATGGAATTATTTAACGAATTTTCGTTAAGTACCTTCAGGTGCACAAGGTCTAGGTACTTCCTTTGAGAGACAATAAAACCCTCGTTACGTTTATGATTATGCCCCTCTGCTAACAATAGCAGTTGGAGAGCGAGTTCTGGGGAATTTCCTAATTTAGGTAGATTTTCGAAATAAGGGACTGTGGAATGCCCCAACTTCCTCTCGACTGATAATAGCCACTTTGGATGCATTTGTGTAAAATTCTCTAACCGCGGCTGATTTTCCGAAAAGGGGTGTTTGACCATGAAATAGCCATCGGGTGAATGGCCTGTGGTAGTATACTGAAAAGGGGTTGCACAGAGATCGCTTTTAAACCCTTTGCTTAATGACCTGCTTCCGGTTTTGACGGTTTCAGCCTCCAAGAACCGAGAAATAATTTGGGCTGAACTAATTTTGTGAGGATGGGAAGTATTATTTTTTAAATATGCAAAACTGCCGCTAAGAATCAACCCCAGCGCGGTATTTTGAAGCACCGGTGGGTTTTTACTGAAATGATTTTTTATTTTGGGTTTAGTATTTTCGGAATGTTTTTTGTTGTCGAGTATTGCTACGTTTAACGTATTGTCTTTAATATTTGAGTCTACGGATTTACATAAATATTGAGATCTACATTCAAATGGGTTACAGACTAACAATGAGTCACAGTTTTTCGAATTAACTGTAGGATTTTTTATTTTGTCTAGTGCGGTAAATGACTCTGCATTAGAAGTTTTATCTAAATTAATTTGAGATACGCCTTCGGAGTTGTAACAATCATTAAAAAGATGATTTTTATTTTCATTGGGTATTGAATTTGGGAATTTGGGACAATTCGATATTATAATAGGAGTTTTTGAATCAATGGAATCCGGAGGAGATTTTTTACCAATAGTGAACCGCAATTTACGTAGAGCATTGAAATGGGTTTTGTGAATTTTGATGGGTTCTCCATTTCTTAATTTGTGTACCTTTAAAGGCTTTAAATTTTGACAAGTTTTTTCCAGATCCGTGGTTGGTACGTTATTGTTTATCTTACATGAATTCGAGAAAGTACACAAAGGATTAGTTTTCTCAATGAGAGCCTTATATAATTCGGATATTTTTTGAATATAATTTAGCACGTCTCTGATATTATAAATTATAGGTTTGATCGTTTCCGTGTTACTCGTGTCATTTGGGACTACCATTGTTTCGGATTTTTGCTGAACTACAAGCATTTGTAATTCTGAATAAATTCGCTGTACGTCTTCATATCGACGCTTTAAGTGGCCTCTTTTTTGATGATTTGCAACATTTGATATAAAATTAGAATGTGAATCTATTTCGCTGAGAAGAATTGAAAATTTAACAAAAGTATTGTCTTGGATTACCACCATCTTGAGTACGAGAATAAATGTATTACACCAACCAAACAGAATTAAAGCTTACTTGGAATCCTGGATTCCTGGATAGAATTATCTTGGCTGACGCTGAATGATACTTGAGGATTTTGCACAGCACTCGCGGTCGTCACCGATAGTTGAACACTGCGCGGATGATTTCTAGGTGATGTTTTGATAACTACTTTGCTGAATTCCAGCCGATGAATGATATGTTGAGAATTACACTTATCACTACCACTGTTATTCTGTCGCTAATCCGGCTCGAAGGACCATGTCGAAGTTTGTATAAATGAATAAAGACCAGCGAACAGTAAGATAAATGTATATTGCTAGTGACAAGTGTTAGATAAATAAGAATAATAAGAATGGAATAGTATATGACCGTGCAGTCGAGATAGTTGAATGTTAGTTACGAATTGAGAATTGAGAATTGAATGTGTATGAATGAGCTAAGAATTAAGAATGAATGCTACCCTGTGTTCCAAGGTGGGGGTGGCTCTGGCTCCCACCCTTACGGGTGGGGAGGGGTGAAACAGGTCCCCGCCAGAGGCTCTAACAGACTGTATCACTTATTTTCCACTAATATTTTGAATTAATTTATGGTATATTTCGTTTTAATAAAGACATTATTGTTTTAATAAATAATATAATAAAAAAAACGAAAATAACTGGAGTAAAAAATTATAATATAGACATTAACTTTTTTTTTAAACTAACCAACAATAACGAAAACGCTATTCGGCAAATAGTTTTCAAAATAAAACTTCCGACCAAATCTTCGTCCACTAAGAATCGATAAACTCTTTTTATCAACTACATGAATACCAAGTACCTCGCGTGCGCCCATCGCTATGGTAACAATTGATTCCGCACAAATGTACACAATCAAAAATTTTAGATCGCAAAATGCACAAAACTTTTATTGCCATTCTTTTATTTTTCTGTAAATCATGTGAACTCAAATATATAGAAGGGGAAATCGATACCAGCGACGTAATTATCTTCTTTCCCGCACCGGTAACAATCAGGTAATTCACGTTATGTTCGCAGAACTGGGCTTTTCTCGCACGTTTCTGTTTCCTTTCCAAACAAGGCGAATTCGAGTATTATTTAGAGTTCAGTGAGGACCAAGGGGTCCCGAATTTGCTGCTTTATTATGACACCGACGACCAGTGGCCTGCTGTGTACAAAACTAACAAGGTATGTAACAATACAAAAATTTTAAATGTGACCATTAAACTTGCAGAACTGTTTCGAAAAAGAATCCGTTCTTCATGTCGAAAACTCCCAAGTAATTAATCTCACCATCAGCACCCAGTACCTCCGAGAATTCTCGGGATGTGCCATCAAGCCCACCACCCCCACCACCCCCACAACCCCGAAATCCACAACCACCACCCGCCTTCCCAAAAAAGGCACCACAAAAAAGCGCCCGTTTCTGACTAAACCGACTGTAAAAACCACAACTCCCGAATTACCGACTCCCAGAAGCACTACTCCCACCCCTTCCAGTGACGACACAACCACGAGTTACGACGTCACCTCACCTATTAGTACCACCTTCGCGGAGGACTTCAGCTACACGACCGAAGACTTGAAGAACCAATGGGAGAACATCTTCGACGTGGGAAACTGGAGTTCGCATAAGGAGCCAATCAAGAAGCGACAAGTGGGGGAATGGGAGGAGTTTTCTGACGCGGCAGACCACAGTGATTTGAAAGCGCCAATCACAAAACGGGCGGTAGCGGCGCCGTCATGGCCGAAAAAAGAAAACAGGATTATTCATTGTAATAATGCGAGGAAGTTTGACAGTTCGAGGGAGAGGTGGTGGTTTATAGCTTTGAGTAACTGTAATGGGTCGAAGGGTATTCACGTGAAGTATAAAATTTTGATGACGAATGGACCACCCGGGGATTACTGGCACGAGCATTTTTCAGCTGATGAGTTTTGTAATACTTTTTTTAGTGATTTAGGGTGTGATAATGGTGACTATTGTTTTAGATATTTTGCCAGTTTTAATGGCGTTTTCTATAGCGTACTCGTTCTTGATGTTGGGGATTATTATGTGCTCCATTGAGCTAAAGTCGAGACAATTGTTGCACACTACCTACAAGATTTTCGTGGTGTCTGCAATTTTTCAACTTTTTGGAATCATTTTAACCAGTGCTGCTTATTTGAAGTACGCTATTAATGGTCTAGGACCGAGCAAAGTCAAAAGATTTGGTAACTATTATTTAATTTTCTTGTTTTAATTTCATAAATACTTGAAATATTCTAGGTGCTATATTTATGAGTTTGTCTGAAACCCTGTATCTCCTTCTCTTGCTCCTATTGGCCAAAGGCTTCACCATCACGCGTGGCCGTCTCCCATTGGCTGCCAGTGTCAAACTCACGATCTTCATGTGTTTGTACGTGGTTACCTACATATCTATATTTATCTACGAAGCCAATGTCTTCGATCCTGGAGAAGTACTCTACCTCTACGAATCACCAGCAGGGTACGGATTAATCATCCTGAGGGTACTAGCCTGGTGTATGTTTATTTATTCGACGGTTTTCACTCTTAAGCACTACCCAGAAAAGGTACGACCTGTCAAACTTAAAACCATAATCTCAGAAATTCCTTCTAGGCGAACTTCTACTACCCATTCAACGTCTGTGGTACCATGTGGTTCATAGCAGGTCCCGCGTTTATTCTCTCCGCTAACACTTACATTGACAAGTGGGTCCGAGAATCTGTAGTGTGTGCTGTTTTACAGTTTATTACGTTTGGAGGGCATCTGACATTCCTTGTGAGTATTCTAAGTACCACCCGGAATTTTTCAAATTTTTCTCCTTCTCGCTTCCAGATCTTGACCATGCCCTCCGTGGCAAACAAAAACTTCCCCTACCACGTCCGCACCACCCAGATCGGCATCATGGAACTCACCGGTACCTCCGGTGCCAGCACCATCCAGCAATTCAGCCACCACATATACGAACCCACGGGTGCCGTAAGGGAGCAAACGGTGATAGTACCGCTGACGCGTCGAACCGAGGAGATATTCGAAGGCATGTACAATCAGCCAGTGCACAACATACGAAGAGACAGCTTGGAAGACATCAACAACACCAGGAACATGATGATGGAGAACGTCATCAACTGGTCGCTTGCCAAGAACGTGGCGGCTTTGGAAGTACCGAATTTCCAGAGGAACAAGAGGAATAGTTTTGGTAAGTGGTACCGAGGAGTGTGGTTGTATGTTGGGGTGTAGTTTCAGATGATTCGAACGAGTCGGTTATGACCAGTCGGAGGTCTTCGCTGCAGCCGGCGAATGGGCAGTTCGAGGACTACGTGAGGGAAGTACCGATTCAGTTGTTTACGGTCAGTAGGATGGTGGCCGGGACTGAGAGCAATAGTAATGGCACTCCCAATGGGAAAACTGTTTAGGCACTTTTTACTTGTTTCGGTGAAGCACAAATTTTATACATATTAAGAGGTTATTTTGGATTTTTTACAAGTACAAAATAAATGATGATTGTTAGAGTAATTGGGGTTGTTTGTTCATTCTAGGAAATCGCGTTATGCTTTCACTTAACAATGTTATTTGTTGGTTGCCTATACAAAAAAAAAATACAGGCTACATTACACTGCAATTTTCTACATTTTTATTATTTTATTTTCGAAAAATTGCGAAACAAAATGCTGAAAAATGTAAAAATAGAAAACATGAAAAATTCTAATATCTAAAAATTGAAAAACCGAAAAGTGAAGAAATGAAAAATTGAAAGCACGAAAAATTCAAGTATCTAAAAATTGAAAAATAGTACAATTATAAAAATTGGAAAATTAGAAAATTAAAAAATTGAAAAATGTAAAAACTAAAAACTCGAAACTAAAAGTGGTAAATTGCAAATGAAAAAATTAAAATTAGAAAAATTGAAAAATCGAAAAACTACAAACCAAAAAAGCGAAAAAACGAACAAACTGAATAACTGAAAAATTCAAAAGTTGGAATGATAAAAAATCGAGAAATTGTACAACCGAAAAATTCAAGAAATGAAAAGTTGAAAAAAAAAACGAAAAAATGAAAACTCGAAAATTGTAAAATTGAAACTTAAAAATTGAGAAACTGAAAAACAAAAAAATTAAAAATCGACATATTCAAGAAAAAAAAAAAAATGATACTTCTTAGAATTGAAAAATTTCAGGAACGTAAAAGTAATAATCTAAAAATTGAACAAACGAAAAATTAAAAATCCAAAAATCGAAAAAATAAACAAATGAATAATTGAAAAATTCAAAAGTTGAAAAATCAAACACTCAAAAATTTAAAATTTTAAAATCGAAAAATTGAAGAATCAAAAAACTGAAAAATCGACGAACAGAAAACTCGAAAAATTGGAACATCAAGAAATTGAAGAAACAAAACTTCGTAAATTCGAAAATTTGCAAATGGAAAAATTAAAGAAACAACTGAAAATTTGAAAAACTGAGAAGTAAAAAATCGAAAAATTAAAATTTAACGCAACGAAAAGTTAAAAATCCAAGAACTGAAGAAACGAAAAGTTAAAAAAATCGAAAATTTAAGAAAACCGAAAAACTGAAAATCGAAGAAACGAACGAATGAATAATTGAAAAATTCAATAGTTGAAAAATCAAAAATTGAAAAATTTTAAATTTTCAAACTCGGAAGATTACAGATCGAAAAATCTGTCTAAAATTCAATCAATAAAATTGAAGAAACGAAAAACTGAAAAATTGAAATTGAAGGACCGAAAAGTAAAAAAACCGAAAAATTTAAACAAAAATTGAGAAATCAAAAATTATAAAACCAAAAAAATTAAAAATCAAAAACCCTAAAAATTTGTAACATGGAGAAATTGAAAAAACAAAACTTCCTAAATTCGAAAATTTGCAAATGGAAAAATTAAAAATTTTAAATTCTGAAACTCGAGAAATAGCAAATCGAAAAATTTTAAAATTGAGAATTCATTAAAAAAATTGAAGAAACCAAAAACTGAAAAATCGACGTACAAAAAATTCGAAAAAATGTAAAAAATGCGCTAAATTAAAAAATTGTAAAATCCAAAAATTGAAACATCAATTGAAAAATCAAAAAATTATGCAATCAAAAAAATTAAGAATTAAAAAACCTAAAAACTGTAATATTCGTAATTTCGAAAATTTGCAAATGAAAAAATTAAAAATTGGAAAATCTGAAACTCGAGAAATTGTAAAATCGAAAAATTAAAAATCCAAAAACCGAAAAAATAAACAAATGAATAATTGAAAAATTCAAAAGTTGAAAAAATCAAACACTCAAAAATTTAAAATTTTAAAATCGAAAAATGGAAGAATAAAAAACTGAAAAATCAACGAACAGAGAACTCGAAAAATTGAGAAATCAAGAAATTATACACTAAAAAAATTGAAAAATTAAAAACCTAAAAATTGGAACATCAAGAAATTGAAACAAAACTTCGTAAATTCGAAAATTTGCAAATGGAAAAATTAAAGAAACAACTGAAAATTTGAAAAACTGAGAAGTAAAAAATCGAAAAATTAAAATTTAGCGAACAGAAAAGTTAAAAATCTAAGAACTGAAGAAACGAAATTTAAAAAAATCGAAAATTTAAGAAAACGAAAAACTGAAAATCGAAGAAACGAACAAATGAATAATTGAAAAATTCAATAGTTGAAAAATCAAAAATTGAAAAATTTTAAATTTTCAAACTCAGAAAATTATTACAGATCGAAAAATCTGTCTAAAATTCAATCAAAAAAATTCAAGAAATGAAAAACTGAAAAATCGAAATTCAAGGACCGAAAAGTAAAAAAACCGAAAAATTTAAAACACGAAAAATTTAAACAAGAATTGAGAAATCAAAAAATTTTAAAACCAAAGAAATTGGAAAAACAAAACTTCGTAAATTCGAAAATTTGCAAACGGAAAAATTAAAGAAACGAACAACTGAAAATTTGGAAAACTGAGAAGTAAAGAATCGAAAAATTAAAATTTTAGAACAGAAAAGTTAAAAATCTAAGAACTGAAGAAACGAAATTTGAAAAAATCGAAAATTTAAGAAAACGAAAAACTGGAAATCGAAGAAACGAACGAATGAATAATTGAAAAATTCAATAGTCGAAAAATCAAAAACTGAAAAATTTTAAATTTTCAAACTCGGAAAATTACAAATCGAAAAATTTTAAAATCTAAAATTCAATAAAAAATTTGAAAAAACGAAAAACTGAAAAATCGAAATTGACGGACCGAAAAGTAAAAAAACCGAAAAATTGAAAACACGAAAAATTTAAACAAAAATTGAGAAAGCAAAAATTTATAATACCAAAGAAATTAAAAATTAAAAACCCAAAAAATTGTAACATGAAGAAATTGAAAAAACAGAACTTTGTAAATTCGAAAATTTGCAAATCGACAAATTTTAAAATCGAAAATTCATTCAAAAAATTGAAGAAACGAAAAACTGAAAAATCGACGTACAAAAAACTCGGAAAAATGAAAAAAGAACGGAAAATTAAAAAATTGTAAAATATAAAAATTGAAACATAAATTGAGAAATCAAAAAATTATACAATCAAAAAAATGAAAAATTAAAAACCTAAAAACTATAACATCGGAAAATTGAAAAAGCAGACTTCGCAAATTCGAAAATTTGCAAATGGAAAAATTAAAAATTGTAAATCGCAAAAATTTTAAAATGGAAAATTCAATAAAAAATTGAAGAAACGAAACTGAAAAATCGACGAACAGCAAATTGGAAAAATTGAAAAAACCGAAAATTTATCGAACAGAAAAGTGAAAAATATAAGAACTGAAGAAACGAAAAGTTAAAAAATCGAAAAATTTAAAACATCTAATAATCCAAAAATAGAAAAATTCTAAATCTACAAACGCTGAAAAAATACAATTGTGAAAATTTGAAAAACTAAAATAACATCCAGAAATTGAAGAATCGGAAAATAAAAAATCAAAAAATTAAAACTCGAAGAACAGTCGAAAAAATCTAAAATTGAAAAATTGATTGATAAAAGGAAAAATTCGAGGCAAAAATTAAAAAAGAAAAGTTGAAAAACCAAAAAATTAAATAAACGAAAAAGTGAAAAAATGAAAAAGTGAAAAATCGTAAAATCAAAAATCGAAACTGAAAAGCCGAAAAAAGTAAAAATCGAAACAGAAAAGTTTAAAGATCGAAAACTGCATAAATTGAAATATTAAAAATCGAAAAATTGAATAAACGGAAAATTTGGAAATTGAATAATTGAAATTCAACGAACAGAAAAGTTGAAAAATTCTAAAATAAAAATTGAAAACTTAAAAATCGAGAAACTGAAATATAAAATTCCGCAAATTTGAAAAAACCAAAAATTGTAGTTCTTCGAGAAACTGACAAATCAAAAAATTAAAATAGAAAAATTAAAAATTGGGAAACTTAAGAAAAAATAAAAAAAAATTATACTTCTTAAAATTGAAAAAATTGCAAATGGAAAAATTGAAAGAACGAAAAATTAATAAATCTAAAAATTGAATAAAAAAATCGAAAAATTGAACATATGAATAATTGAAAAATCAAAAACTCAAAAATTTCATAATTTTGAAACTGGAAAAATTGCAAATCGAAAATTCAATCAAAAAATTGAAGAAATGAAAAACTGAAAAATCCACGAACAGAAAACTCGAAAAATTGAAATCACAAAAACTTGGAACAAAAATTGAGAAATCAAAAAATTGAAAAATTAAAAACCTACAAATTTATCATCCAGAAATTTAAAAAACAAAAATTCGTAAATTCGAAAATTTGCAAATAGAACATAAAAAAATTTAAAGTTTGAAACTCGAGAAATTGTGTATCGAAAAATTTTAAAATCGAAAATTAAAAATAAAAAAATTGAGAAAACCATACTGAAAAATCGACGAACAGAAAACTTTGTAAATTGGAAAAATTGCAAATGGAGAAATTAAAAATTTTAAATTTTCGGAAATCGAAAAATTTACAAAATCGAAAATTTAATGAAAAATTTGAAGAAATGAAAAACAGAAAAATCGATGAACAGAAAATCGAAAAATTGCAGAAAGGAAGAATTGAAAAATCCAAAAAATGGAAATAAAAATGGAGAAATCAAAGAATCATACAATTAAATAAATGAATAATTAAAAACCCTAAAAATTTTAACATCGAAAAATTTAAAAAACAAAACTTCGTAAATTCGAAAATTTGCAAATAGAAAATAAAAAAAAAAATGAAAAAACTAAACTGAAAAATCGACGAATAGAAAACTCGAAAAATTAAAAAAACGGAAAATTGAAAAATTAAAAATTTGTAAAATCGAAAAATTTTGGGAACGAAAAGTTAAAAAACCGAAAAATTGAATAGACGGAAAATTAAAACAAAAATTGGGAAATCAAAAAATTGAAAAATTAAAAAACCTAAAAATAGTAATATCGATAAATTGAAAAAACAAAACCTCGTAAATTCGAAAATTTGCAAATAGAAAATAAAAAATTTTAAAGTTTGAAACTCGAGAAATTGTGTATCGAAAATTTTTAAAACCGAATATTAAAAAAAAAATTTGAAAAACTGAAAAATCGACGAACAGAAAACTCGAAAAATTGCAGAAAGGAAGAATTGAAAAATCCAAAAGTTGTAAAATTGAAAAATTAAAACAAAAATGGAGAAATCAAAAAGTCATACAATCAAATAAATGAAAAATTAAAAAACCTAAAAAATTTAACATCAAGAAATTTAAAAAACAAAACTTCGTAAAATTCGAAAATTTGCAAATGGAAAATAAAAAATTTTAAAAGCGAAAATTCAAAAAACGAAACTGAAAAATCGACGAACAGAAAACTCGAAAAATTGAAAAACCGGAGGATTGAAAAATCCAAAAATGGTAAAATCGAAAAATTTTGGGAACGGAAAGTTAAAAAACGAAAAATTGAAAACTCGAAAAATTAAAACAAAAATTCGGAAATCAAAAAATTATACAATCAAAAAATTAAAAATTAAAAAACCTAAAAATAGTAATATGGAGAAATTGAAAAAACTTCGTAAATTCGAAAATTTATAAACAGAAAAATTAAAGAAACGAACTGATTTAATTGAAAACTGAAAGTCGAAAAATCAAAAATGTGAAAACTCGAAAAATTACATACCGAAAAATTGTCAATCAAAAAACTGAAGAAACGAACATTTGAAAAATTGAAAAATATAAAATCGAATAAATTGGATAAACGAAAACTAAAAATTCGAAAAAGTAAAATTTAAGGAACTGGAAAATGAAAAATCCAACAACCGGAGAAACAAAAAGTAAAAAAATCGAAAAATTCAAAACATCTATTAGCTAAAAATTGAATAACCGAAAAATTAAAAAAAAAAAAAAAACGAAAAAATGGCAAATCGAAAAATCAAAAATCGTAACAGCAAAACCGAAAAATCAAAATATTGAAAATGTGAAATATTGAAAATCGAAATATGTATTGAATAAACGTAAAATTAAAAAATCGAAAAATTGAAATTGAAAATTGAAATTCAACATTCTGTTCGTTGAAAAATAGAAAAAATGAAAAATCCAAAACTCTGAAAATTTAAAAATCGGGAAACGAAAATGAAAAGCTGAAAAATAAAATTCCGAGAATTTGAAAAAACTAAAAATCGAAAAATAAAAAACACAAAAATAAAAAATAGAGGAAGTTCGGCTTTTACTTGAATTCATAAAAAAAATCACATGATAGAAAAAAATTCTATGAAATTTATCTTTAAAATAATGATGTTGACATTCCACTTTATTTGATAGTAACAGTCAACGAAGGAACGCGTCGGTATTGCCAATATAACTGCCGTGTCATTTATAATTCACTCGCATTTTAGAGGTCCACCAAATCTTGATTTATGTTGGCAAAGCACTAAATATCCCCACCGACTGACAGTTTAAATGTCACAATTTCACGCAAGCGCATTAAACATCAGAGTAAAAATTAAAATTAAGTGTTGGATTTTAACAGTTAGTTGATAGCAAAATCAAATTCCCACCTTTTATTTAAAAATCCACTCATTTCAACACCGTGAAAAAATTGGAAACTGTCGAAACCGTCTCACCATCCTTGCCTACTAAAAAAATACCTACCTTACTAGGATCAGGAAAAGGTGGGTTAAACAAAAAACTGCACATTTTCACCGCCTTCTTTTATTTCTCTTACACTACCACAGCCTTCACTCCACCACCTTTACTCTAAAAGTGATCTTCTGGTCCAACCCAATATATGAATCACACAGGAAGTAGCCAGAATACCGGTACACACCTAAACCGAACCATCAGACAACAAACAACAACTCCCAACACACTCACCTCTCTCCGCAGGAACGTCAACCTGCACATCCACATTTTTGTTCCTCTTGACAACGAATCTCTGCATCCTTAACAAGACATCTTCAGAACTCATCAAGAAAAACCACGACTCCTCCTTCTGTTTGCTGAACTTCTTGCTGCACACGTTAAGATTGCTGGTGCCGTCTCGGAAGACGTCGAACTCGAAAATGCACTTCGTCTCGGGCTTGACCTCCACACAAACCACGCCTTCGCTGCGGTCAATCCTGTAATCGAGCTCCTTGTTGTCGCTCGCATCCCTAATTTTGAAGCGCACTTCCAGGATGGGTATCCTGGATATCGCTTTGAGGACGTCTCCGGATCTTTGTTTATCGAACTGCTCCTCGATTATCCCTATTAGAGCTTTCTTGTTGGTCCTCATGGCGACTTTCAGGAGTGGGATTGACACTTCTTGGCATGACTCTGGTACGAGTTTGTGGGTGATCATTTTTCGTAGTAGGCTGTTGCAGGATTCTTGGGTCATGTGGGGAAGCATCATGGCGCTTCCGGTTTCGATCATCACTCCTTGGATTAGCATTTGACATAAGTAGATGAGTTTGATGGTGCAGTCTTGCCAACTTTTGTACGATGTCAGGCTGATCATGGCTTGGATGATACGAATGATTTGATCGAAGACGGTTTTCAGGTCGACTACGTATTCTTGGTTGGGGAGTTTCTTGTCGGAGAGGTAGCATTTGATGAGGAGGAGGACTTTTAAATGTGGAGAGTCGAAAGGTAGTCGGGTTTTTATGTTCATGTCCATTACTAAATGTCTGAAAAATAAATAAATTTATTGTACAATGAGTATAGGCAATAGTTGTGTGGAATATGTTGTGCAGATGAACATTCTGGTAATTAATTTATTATTTATTTTTTTAACATAATGTATAAACAATTTCTGAAAATACAAACATCTAATATGAAAGCGCAAAAATTATCATCTTGAAGCACACTTTTCACAAAAATGTTTGTTAAATTTTTGCGATGACATCATTGATTTTCTTGAGGGAACGAATGATAAAAAATGAATCGTTGTTCTGAAATCACTACAATGTTAATAGTATATTCCCAATTAATTCATATTTCGGTATAAATTTCCAACAAGACTTACTAAACAAAAATTTGAGATGATATCACCAAGTTATAAAATATTAAAAAAAAAACAAATGTAAAAACGAAAAAAAAAATGGTAACGTTAAAACGAGAAGTTAAAAAGATGAAATAAAAATTAAAATAATAATTGGTTACACAACAATAAAAAATGAAATGAACGGGTGAAAAATTAGTATTGGAAAGAGAATATCTGATAAATCGGACAGTAAATAGAAATTGAGGACAATAAGGCACTAAAATAAGAATGAAAGAAAGGTAACGAGAAAATAATACGAGTGAAAAATAGAAAGAGGAAAAAAACGAAAAGTTGTGAAATGAGTGAAAAGCAATAATGGAAAATAAATCGATAGAAAAGAAGGGAAATAATAAAATATGGACTGAGGAGATGAGAAAAAAAAAAGCAGAAAAAAAGCGAGATAAAAACGTGATCAGAGACTAGCGAGAATGGGAGGTCTGCGAGAAAAAGAAAAATAAGGAAAAGATAACAAATTCTTCAAAAGATATTTATTAATTAAGTTCTTAAAACAGCCTATACATGTATTCGTATGTCACATTTACTTAATAATTCTTTGAATTGAGAGAAAAAATTGATAAAAAACCAAAATAGCGAAAAAATAAAAAATATACCAAACAGAAGGGATGCAAAAAACCTCACAAAAAATGCATTAAAAAAAGACAATGAAGTAGGCAAAAAGTCCACAGGCGGTAGTAAAAAAATTAAATAGAAAACAAAAATTCATAAAAAAGGAGAAAAAGGTCGCTACAAAAAGGTCATAAAAATGTGACCAACAGAAAGGAACCAAAAAAGGTCACAAAAATTTAAAAAATGAGAAAACAAAAACAAAAAGTACACAAAGAAAGTGACAAACATATAAAAAATGAATAAAAAATGCAAGAAAGCGACAGTCCCCAAAAAAAATCACTGAAAAACTAAAAAAATGGCGAAACGCGAAAAAAATCTATATAATGCGAAAACAGACGAGAGAAGAAAAATCATTAAAAAGGCGCAAAAAAGCAATGACAAAAAGAAGAGTCAAAAAAAGCGGACAAAAAGTAAGGCACAAAAAAAAGTCAAAAAGATTACAAAAAATACACAAAAAAAAAAACGATAAATCGCAAACTCGAAAAATAGAAAAATTGAAGAATCGAAATACGTATTGAAAAACCTCAAAACTAAAACATGGAAAAATTGAAAAATGAAGGAAAAATTGTAAAATGAAAAACTGAAAAATCCTAAAACTGAAACGTCGAAGAATTGAGAAATTGAAAAATTCAAAAATCAAAACCATTAAAATTGAAAAACTGAAAAATCAAAATATTGAAAAGTCTAAAAATGAGAAATGGAAAAATAAAAAAAAATATAATAGAAAAATTGAAAATTCGGAAACGTGAAAACTTAAAAAATTGAAAAATTAAAGAGTCGAAAAACTGAAAAATCGTAAAACTGAGAAATCAAAAAATGAAAAAATTGAGAAATCCAAAATTTGAAGAATCGAGAAATTTAAGAATCCAAACACTGAAAAATTCGAACACTAAAATGCCTATAGAAGAATTGAAAAGTTCAAAAATTGAAATGTTGAAAAATTAGAGAAAAATGAAGAAATCTAAAAATCGAAACGTGCAAAAATTTTTTAAATCGAAAAACCGAAATGTCAAGAAATTGAAACATCAAAAAATCGAAAAAAATTTTTATTTGAAAAATCCCAAAACTAAAATATCGAAAAACTGAAAAATCCAAACAATGAAAAATCCGAACAGTGAAATATATATATAAAAACTGAAAATCATGACAATGAAAAATCGAAAAATTGAAAATAAAAAACTGAAAAATTCCAAAATTGAAATACATCGAAAAATTGAGAAATCGAAAAGCCGAAAAATGGAAAAAATTTATCAAATCTACAAGAGTCGAAAAACTGAAACATCGGAAAACTAAAAAATCAAAAAATTCAAAAATCAAAAACTATTAAAATTGAAAAACTGAAAAATCAAAAGATTGACCAAGTAAAGAAATGAGAAATAGAAAAAAAAAAAGATTAGTAGAGAAATTGAAAAATTGAAAATTCAGAAATGTCAAAGATTAAAAAATTGAAAAATGAAAGAGTCGAAAATCTGAAAAATCGAAAAACTGAAACATCGGAAAACTAAAAAATCAAAAAATGAAATTTGACAAATCGAAAATTTGAAGAATCGAGAAATTTAAGAATCCAAACATTCAAAATTGAAAAATTAAAAATTATTAAAATAGAAAATTTAAGAATCTAAACACTGAAAAATTCGAACACTAAAATATAGAAAAAAATCCGAAATTGAAAAGTTCAAAAATTGAAATGTTGAAAAATTAAGAGAAAAATGAGGAAATCTAACAATCGAAAAGTGAAAAAATTTTAAAAGTCGAAAAACCAAGATGTAAAGAAATTGAAACATCAAAAAATCGAAAAAAAAATTTTCGTTGAAAAATCCTAAAACTAAAATATATCGAAAAATTGAAAAATCGAAACAATGAAAAATCCGAGCAGTATAATATATAAAAACTGAAAATCACGAAAATGAAAAATCGAAAAATTGTCAAAACTGAAAAATTGAAAAATTGAGAAATCGAAAAGCCGAAAAATTATCATCTTTACAATTTTGATTTTTTTTTTCCAAAAATCTCCATATTTAGGATAAAAATTCAACACGGATTCATAACATTTAAATAATATTTATTCGACAAAATTGTAAGATGACGTTCCTGGTGGGTCATGAACAGATAAATTATGATTCTCGATAATTTAAAAATTAAATGGATCTCGAATCGAATCGAAAATTAAATAAACGAAAATTTAAAAATTCCAAAAAATAAAAATCGACGAACTGCAAAGTAGAAAAATTGAAAAAACGGAATACTGACAAATCAAAAATTGCAAATCGAAAAATTGAAGAAATGAAAATTTAAACATCTAAAAATAAAACAGTTAATACACGAAAAATTAAACATCTAAGAATCGAAAAATCCACAAATTAAAAATGGAGAAACTGAAAAGCCCCAAAAAAAATCAAAAATCTGAAAAACAATTTGTTTTTTTTTTTTTTAAATTGCAAATCGAAACAAAAAACTGAAGAAACGAAAAATAGAAAAACTGAATAAATGATAAAATTAAAAAGGCGAAAAATTATACACGGGAAAATTGAAAAAACCGAAAAATTGTAAAATTGAAAATCGTAAATTGAAAATTGAAAAACCGAAAAATTGAAAAATTAAAAAATGAGAAACTGAAAGACAAAATATTAGAAATCGAAAAATTGAGAAAATAAAAAATTTAAAAACTGAAAAACTAATTATTGTAATATTCAGAAATTGAAAAATCCAAACTTATTAAATTGAAACTGAAGAATCGAAAAACTGAAATTCGAAAAAATTGTGGGATCGAAAAATTGTAAATCGAAAAATGGTAAAATAAAAAACTGACTAAACGAAAAATTAAAAAATCGATAAACTGTAAAGTTGGAAAATCGAAAAAAAAGGAAAATTGAAAAATTGTAAAATCTAAAAGTTGAAATATCGAAAAATTAAAAATCGAGAAACTGAAAAGATATAAAAATAAAACATCGAAAATATTAAAAAACAAAACAAATTTTTGCAATGCGAAAAATTGTACATTGAAAAATTTTAAAATCGAAAATTGCCAATCAAAAAAATGAAGAAACGAAAAATTAAAAATCGATGAACAGAAAACTCAAAAAATTCAAAATAAAAAAAAATGCGCGTAACAGAAGGGAGCCAAAAAGATTACAAAAAATACAACAACAAAAAAACACTGGAAAAGAACAAAAAATCCATTAAAAAGGCCACCACAAAAATTAGGCCAAACACACGAAAAAATGCAACTAAAAGAAGGGAACCAAAAAAATGCGATAAAAAAGAACAAAAAAAAAGAGAATAAAATAATCCCTGGAAAAAAATGACTAAAGTCCAAAGTCCACAAAACAAAAACACTACAAAAAAAGGGCAACTACAAAAATGTCAAAATTTGCAACAAAGAGGCTATAACTATACCTATAGGGACAAGTCATAAAAAAAATAAATGAAAAGAACAAAAAACGGCCATGAAAATAGACAATGCAAACAGGAGAAAAGGTATAAAAATGCGAAAATGCTACGTAAAAAGTGAATAAAAAAGATCAAAAACGCAGCCAAAAAAAAAAAAAGAATCTAAAAACGCAACAAAAAAAGGCACAACAAATGCATCAAAAAAGACCCTGAAAAAAATCCACAAAGAAGGCGACAAAAAATACCAAAAAAATCCGTAACAAAAAAAAGAGAAAAAGTCTGCCACAAAAAGTCACAAAAAGTTTACAAAAAGCGACTAAAGAGGAGGCCAAAAACTCGACACACACATGCAACCAAATAAAGGTCAAAAAAGCGACAAAAAGTCCCCAAAGAAGGCGATAAAAAAATCCGAAAACAGAAAAGAAAAAATCCGACAAAAATGAGAAACTTTAGCAGAAAAGCGACTTAAAAAAAGATCAAAAAAACGCGACTTACAAGGAGTCAAAAAAAAGGTGAAGCCAAAAACGCTAGAAAAAAGCCAAAAACAAAATCACAAGAAGCGCACAAAAACAGAGGATAAAAAATATCACAAAATGACAAAAAAGTCGACAAGAATAACAAGAAACGCAACAACAAAGTGGACACAAAGAGGCAACAAAAAAACCGGTTGCAAACAGTGACAAAAAAGTCAAATAAAAAAAATAAAAAAGGGCAAAAAATCCACTAAAAAATAAGTAAAAAAAGACAAAAAAGTGTGAAAAAGAGGGCACAAGAAATACTGGCTGAGAAAGGGAACCAAAAAGGGGACTAAAAGACAGGAATAAAAAAAGAGGGAATAAAAAATAAATAAAAAAAAAACGCTACCAAAACGTGGCAAAAAGTTAAAAAAAGTTACAAAAAGGAGACAAAAACAGAGAACATAAAATCAACAAAAACCGTTGACTGCAAAAAGTGGTTAAAAAAAACAATTTAAAAAACGGCTACGAAAGCGACAAAATATCACAGAAAAAAAAATAAAATTCTATAGAAATATATTTGGGGGCATTAAATAATCTTTACTAGGCAAAATTTTGGTGGCGATTATCAGACAAATTTTGGTAAGCGTTTTACCATCGACACGATATTCCTAACATACATTAAAATTTCACAACAATCAGTCCGGTAGTTTCGGAAATTATTTGTCTAATAAAAATCGACATAGATAGACAGGCACACACACAGACGACGAAAACGAGAGACCTATAACTAGTAGGGCGAAGAGAAGGATACAGTAACACACAAATAAAGAAGAAAAGAAAAAATAATTCATAACAAACCATTTAAAACAAGTTAATGAAGTGATAAAAAAATAAACATACATAATACTATTATATGAAATAAAATCCAAAATCCTCTAAAATGCTAGTTTGTAGACATACCATAAGTTGTATGTCTAATTTAAAAAATCACCCGGTATAAACAACCCATAATTTCTTTGAATAAAATTAAAAAAAAAAAACACCTAAAGTTAAGAAAGGTACTGTATGAAACCCATTGTAACAAAAGTCGAATTTCATATTCTCTTAGGATTTAATTTAGTATAATTACATGTACTTCATTATCCAGTAATTATTATTGACTCTTTCACTTTCTGTATTGTCATACTTCGCTCGTTCTCGTTATACACCAAGTACGTCAATGTTATTTAATTACTTCACACTGAATTATTAAATTTACGACTGCCACAAACACGTAACTAAAATTTAACAAGGAATCTACGTATGTACGGTACTAGAAAAAAAAAAGATGAAAATTATCCAATTAATAATTGATTGAAATTTCCTTACACTTTTTCTATTTGTATTTTTTATAACGCGACCTATGGACTTTTCAATTTTAATACCGAGTAACTATAATACTGGTGATTTTTTTTGTCAGGTTGGGAAGTTGTTTAAAATTCTATGATGCCATTGTCAGAGTGACACTTAGAACAGCTGCCATCGTCTCAACCAATCAACACGTTAGTTAGGCGTGCTTATGTCAGAATTGACAACTATGGTATGGCATGGATGCCAATAATTCAGAGTTGCCAACACAAAAATTTGCTTCAGTCATTACTAATAGCCACCCGGTATTATATCAATTATATTGAAGAATACACATATGCAACCAATTATACACGCAATCGAACATCGTTCTAGAAACGTTAAAAAAAGAATCATAAGTAAAACACAACTTTAATAAAACTCTAAAATCTCCTCAAATATTCACCCAACCCCCAAACCACTTACCTATTAATCTTATCCTCATTATGCCTCACCGGAAACAGCGCATACTCCTCCACCTGACACATATTCAAAACCAAATCGTCCAGCGAACTATCCTCCATCAAATTCTCGTGCAAATACAACATAGTCTTACACGACAAATAATACTGCGCCGCCAACTGTCCCAAAAACGTACTCTCATAAAAATCTTGAACCTCCTACAAACCCATCAAACAATACACAACACCCTCCCTCAAACCCTCCAAACTCACCTCATTCCTAATCGCGATACACTGAGCATCCTGCAGCGTCACCGACACCGACTCCGACAACTCCTGCAAGTACACATTCGCGTTCTCCACGTCGTTCATCTTGTAGTACGTCGGATTAACCAACAACCGCCTGAAGAAGAACGTCGAACAAATAAGATCCACCAGCTGCGAGCGACAAGTGACCGTGCCGTTGGCGATCTCCGCGTTCACGTGCTCGGGCAGCACCTGCAGCAGACTGGACTCGACGGGGAAGGGCTCGAACAGGAACTTCCTGTAGAAGTTCTTCTTGCTTTCTTGCACGAACACGCACGCCACGCCACTGGTGTCGAACTGGGGGCGACCAGCGCGCCCCATCATTTGAAGAACGTCGGTGACGGGCATGTCCACGTAGCGCTTGGTGGCGCCGTCATAGTACTCGGTGCCTTTGACTATGACGAGGTGAGCCGGGAAGTTCACACCCCACGCCAGCGTGGCCGTGGCTACGAGGACCTGGATTTTCTGGTTGACGAAGAGCTCTTCCACCACTTTTCGGTCGTGCTCTTGCAGGCCGGCGTGGTGGATGCCTATGCCGAAAAGAAGTAAGTAGCTTAAGTCGGAGTCGGTTACAGTGGAGCGGATGTTTTCGATTTCCTCCTGGGGGCAATGGAGCCACTGCTTCGGGTTGGTGTCACTGAGGAGACACTTGATCAAGTCGTACGAGGTGATGCGGGTTTGTTTGCGGGATGAGACGAAGATCAGAGTGGGACTATCGGGGGCGTACTGACAGATTGCTTGGTATGCAGGTCGGTTCATTGTGGCCATTCTAGGGCAGTAATTTTTAGCCGAGAAGCCCTTCAAGTGGATTTCGAGGGGCACGGGGCGGACTGAAGAACTGAAGTTGAAGAGACCTTTTCGTTCAATACCTATTAAAAAATAATAACTAATTTTTCACATTTAATTATTTCAGTTGTGATATATCTAAAGTTCAAGACGATTTTCCCTAAGTTATTATTTACATTTCGTAAAACTTTTTCATTTTTTAATTTACCTAACCAGTTGGCCAAGTCTCCCGCGTTGGCCATGGCCGTCGACAGACCGACGATCCTGACTTTGGCGTTCTTGACGCTGTTGATGTAGTTCATTCGCGATACGATGACCTCGAGGACGGGTCCTCTTTCTTCGGCGAGGAGGTGGATTTCGTCGATTATGATGAGGCCGACTTGCTTGACGAAGTCTTTCTGGAGCCAGTTTCTGCTCATTCCGTCCCATTTCTCGGGGGTTGTGATGATGATGTCGGCGGATGCGATCAGGGATGATCTTGGGGTGATGTCGCCGGTCACTTCGACTACTTTTTTGTTGATTTTGGTGAACTTGGCGGTCCAGTCGGAGACGCGTTCGCGGACTAGGGCTTTCATGGGAGCTATGTAGACGATCTGAAATACATATGTAAAATAGTACCGAAGTACAAATACATATTTTTCAGTGACAAAAAAAAAGTGGTGTCATCAGCTTTTTGGTATCTTAACGATCCACATATGAGCCTATAAAAAAATTTGGTATAACGAAAAATTGCCCAAAAATACTACACTAAAAAGAATACACAACCAGTTATTTCGTGTGTTTTATTAAAAGTTTAAGAGGTTTAATAATCTTATTTCGAAAACAATAGTAAAATTTGGTTGTACAAAAAACAGGCGACAAAAAAAGGAACAAACACACGCTACAAAAAAAAGTCAGTCCATAAAATCCCTACAAAAAAATTGAAATAATGGTAAAAACAAAAAAATAGCACCAAAAAAGTAAAGGACAAAAAAAGTCTACAACAAAAAAACACGAAAATAAAAAAAATCATTAAAAAGTGCAGAATAAACGGCTACGTCAAAAAGTGCCTAAAAAGGAGATAAAACGAGACAAAAAAATATATCATTAAAACAGAGGGATCAAAAGTGACAAAAAAAGATCATAAAAAATGCAGAAAAAATGACAGTGGAAAAAAGACAATAAGTCTACAGAGAAGGTGACAAAAAATACGAACACAGACCAAAATTCCAAAAAAAAAAAAAATTAGAAAAAAACCATCACAAAAAACCAAAATAAAGTAGGGCAAAAAATTCGATTAAAAGAAGATAGTAAAAAAATGCAAAAAAGAGTAATAAAACGCCACAAAAAGTTTACAAACACGTACAAAGTTAAAAAAAACTCCACAAAAAATGCCCAAAAACCCAATAAAGTATCAAAAAGACGACAAAAAATGGCTACAAAAAGCGACAAAAATTAAACGTAAAATTTGGTCGTTGAAAAAAAACTGTCTTTTTTTATAAAATGTTATCTTTTTGTTTGAGAATAAAACAAAAATTTTGATTAGCGTTCCACAATCGTCGATAATCCGAAATTATCCGCAAAATTAAACATTAACCAATACAATGATTGCGGATGTTGTTTTGTCAAAAATACAGTATACACGCCGAAACGGTCCGCCACTCGGAAAAAGTAAACCTGTATTTTCATATTTTACTTAAAAAAATGCGACAAAAAAGGGAACAAAAAGAGGCTACAAAAAAAGCGGCAGAAAGTCCATAAAAAGCCTACAAAAAACAATGGTAAAAAACACGACAAAAAGTTGACAAAAAATGCAACAGATAAACGAACACAAAAGTGGCAAAAACAGAAAAAATAGCAACAAAAAAATAAGGACAAAAAATCCACAGCAAAAAACACGAAAACAGAAGTAAAATGCGATTAAACAGAGCGGTAAAAAAGTGACAAAAAAATGTCAAAAAATGCAGCTACCAAAAGGACGTCAGAAAAGATCACGAAAAATTCAACAAAAATGACAGTGAAAAAAGAACAAAACATCTACAAAGAAAATCACAAAAAAAGTAATCACAAAAACCAAAAAAAGTAGGCCAAAAAATAACATTAAAAGAAGATAGTAAAAAAAGGCTAAAAAGAGAAATAAAACGTTACAAAAAGTCACAAAAAGTTTAAAAAAACAGATAAAAATAAAAAATGCGACTACAGTGGCAACAAAAGAAAGGTCAAAAAGTAACCAAAAAAGGCAATAAAAGGTTGTTACAAAAGCAACAAATGACGACAAAAAACGACAGAACGCCCACAAAAAAATCTACAAAAAAATGCGAGAACAGAGGAAAAAAACATAAACAATATAACAAAGTGCGAAAAAACGACCACGACAAATCGACTAAAAAGACAAAAGTGCAATTAAAAGAAAGGAAACTAAAAAGGCAAAAAAAAAAAGAACAAAAAATTGCTACAAAAAGCGACAAAAAGTAAATAAAAAATGCAAAAAAGGGTAACCCCAAAGAAGTATCAAAAAGACAACAAAAATGGTTACAAAAAACGTCATCTTTTTTGAGGATAAAACAAAAATTTTGATTAGCGTTTCACCATCGTCAATAATCCGAAAGTATCCGGGAAATTAAACATTAATCAAGAAAATATTTACAGATGTTGGCTTGTCAAAAATACAGCATATACACAGCGACGAACACACTGTAACAGTAAACCTGTATTTTCGTATATTACTAGCTGCAAAATGTCAATTAATATCCATCAGTACAATGAGATGTATTATTATTTAAACAAGAAGTCTACAAAAAATGCGAAAACAGAGAACAAAAAATCCATCAAAAATGAGAAAACTATCACAACAAGCAACAAAAAAAACACCAAAAAAACGCGACTAAAAGGAGGAAATAAAAAAAACTACAAAAAAAGTTCACGAGAAGTGTACAAAAACAGAGGATAAAAAATTTCACAAAAACGGTGACAGGACTTCCTTCGCCCCCGAAGTACAGTGCCACAAATCCCGCGTCTTTGAAAAATGAAAAAATTTGATTTTGCAAATCTGTATTTACTAAAACAAATACAAGAGTATGCTATTTTATAAAATTTACTATAAAAAATGTAAGAAATGAAAAATCGCTGATCGAAAACTTGCAAAATCTAAAAATTGAAACTTGGTAAAAATAAAATTATTGTATTTAATGTAGACCCACCCACTCTCTTTATTTCAATGACTACTTTTAACATTGTTCAGTCTTATCTTAGAAAGTACTAGGCCCGCCCACCCACCCTCGATTATTTTAGAGGGTATATCATTCACTAAAATCAGTCTTATCTTAGCAAGTAGTGACAAAAAAATTAAAAACTGCAAAATTGCAAATCGAAAAATGAAAGAAATGAAAAACTGAAAAATTAAAAATTGAAAACTCGTAAAATTGCTAATCGAAAAAGTGCAAAATCTAAAAATTGAAACAATTTAGTAAACATTAAATTTTATAAAAAAAATGTAATCCTAGATTCATCTTCCGCTCTTCAGCAGAGCCAATAAGAATGGATGATCAAAATGCAAAAAGAGTGGATGGGTGGGGCCAGTTTTTACTTGGTTTTAAATCTTAGATACTAAGATTTGTTAAAATAGAATCCAATTTCCATTTTACAATCAATAAAATGAGTCAGTGAAATAAAGAAACGAGATTGGCGGAGCTGAGTTTAGGGTTTTTTTCTAAAGAGTCTTATAAGCAAGCAGTAGCCGCGCCCACCTACCCCTTCTTCATTTCAATAAATACTCTTAATATTGTTCAGTCTTATCTTAGCTAGTACTAGACCCGCCCACCCGCCTTCTACTTTTTCAGAGGGTATTTCATTCGCTAAAATCAGTCTTATTTTAGCAAGGACTAACAAAAAAAACTGAAAAATTGCTAATCGAAAAATGGAAGAAATGAAAAATTGAAAAATTAAATATTGTAGGTACATTAAAAATTAATTGTATTTAAAGAATGTAATCCTAAATTCTATTGTGTATCAATATAAAATTCGACTTCCGTTCTTCATAGCCAATAAGAATGAATGATCAAAACGGAAGTGGGGTGGGTGGGCGGGGCGACTTTTTAATTTGTTTTAAATCTTAGATTCTACAACTTGTCAAAATCGAATTCAATTCCCATTTTATAGTAAATAAAATAAGTCAGTGAAATAGCAAAAAGAGGTGGGCGAGGCTTAGTTTAGCTTTATTTCAATGACTACTTTTAATATTGTTCAGTTTTATCGTAGCAAGTATTAGGCCCGCCCACCCACCCTCGATTTTTTGGAGGGTATGACCTTCGCTAAAATCAGTCTTATCTTAGCAAGTACTAACAAAAAAAAAATAAAAAACTGAAAAATTAAAAACTGAAGAAAATCTAAAAATTGAAACAATTTAATAAAAATTAAATCTTATTAAACAAAAATGTAATCCAAGATTCTATTATTTATCAATATAAAATTCATCTTCCGTTCTTTAGAGCCAATAAGAATGGATGGTCAAAATGCAAAAGGGGTGGGTGGGCGGGGCCACTATTTAATTTGATATACTATTTCCAGCGATAGATTGGAAAATTTTGAATTCACAATCGCCAACCGGAGAATCCAAAATATACTAGCATTATACGCTTAAAGCAGTTAAAGAGTTGTAGTTTAGGTTGGCAACCAACGTTCCTTTTCCCGCGCAACGAATTTCCTACGCCTCTATGCTTGCGCCAGTCGGCCGGTTTCGTTTAACCTGTGTTTTGGTCGATCAGCTAATTGACGTTAATTTAAAATTTTGGTACAAAAAGTTAAAAAGTGTGTTTTTTGCGTTTAGTGTTTGTGTTTTTTTACTTGTTTTGATTTGTTAGGTATGATATTATAGACCTTTGTGCTGTTTTTTGTATAGTGGCTGAAGTTTGGACATTTTAGGTTAAGTTGTTTGTGTCAAAAAACGTTTCATATGGACCCCATGAAATACGAATAAAATTCATAATTACGCAAGAGTGAGTTGTTGATTTATTCTGTGCAATCATTATATACCATTATATTTTGTAGCCCTCTTCAACCCGGTGCAGTATGACTGTTGTTGACAACATCGTGGCACAGAAAATGATTGCCAATGCGTATTCATTCTTCAAGAAGGAAAATTTTAATTTAAGATGCCCTACTTGTTACTTCAATATAAAGTACGTAATGTTATTCGAAGTGTATGTTCCAGTATAGATAATATTGTCTGTTGGAAATAAATTGTGTTATTAAAAGTAATTTTACGTCGTTCAACATTATTTTCAAATCTCCTTATATTTCAAATAAAGCGCCTTTGGCACTACTTTTTATAGCGGTCTATTGGTGACTTTTCTGTCAGCTAATCTATCGGTGGAAATACTATATAATCCTAGATTCTACAATTTCTCAAAATAAGTCGGTGAAATCGAGAAAAGAGGTGGGCGGGGCTGAGTTTAGTTTTTTTCTAAAGAGTCTTGTAAGCAAACAGTAGCCCCACCCACCTACCCCCTCTTCATTTCAATGACTACTCTTAATATCGTTTATTCTTATATTAGCAAGTCCTAGGCCCGCCCACCCGCCCTCTATTTTTTAGAAGGTCATTTGCTAAAATCAGTCTTATCTTAGCAAGTAGTAACGCAAAAATGAAAAACCGCAAAATTACAAAGCGAAAAATGAAAGAAATGAAAAATTAAAAATTGAAAACTCGTAAAATTACTAATCGAAAAAATGCAAAATCCAAAAATTGGAACAATTTCATAAACATTAATGTTTATTTAAAAAAAATTATCATCTTGCGTTCTTCAAAGCCAATAAGAATGAATGATCAAAATGCAATAGGGGTGGGTGGGCGGGGCCACTTTTTAATTTGTTTTAAATCTTAAATTCTACAACTTGTCAAAATAGAATTCTATTCCCATTTTACAGTAAATAAAATAGGTCAGTGAAATAGAGAAAAGAGGTGGGCGGGGCTGAGTTTTTAGTTTTTTTCCAGTGACTCCTCTTAATATTGTTCAGTCTTATCTTAATAAGTACTAGCCCCACCCACCCGCCCTCTATTTTCTGAGAGAGTATGTCATTTGAAAAAATTAATCTTATCTTAGCAAGTACTAATTATTTATTTTTTTACATATGATTTATCATTGCATTTATATTTTTTAGATTTGCTTAAACAGGTGGCTCTGTCGGAACAACTTTTGACCAATTTTTTTGACAATAAAAGAAAAATTTTGATTGGCGTTTCACTATTGTCCATAATCCGAAGGTATCCGGAAAATTTATCAGATATACTACTTATGCATTAAAAACAGTCAAAAATTTACACATAAACAACATCGTATGGCGAGATATTTTTAGTATTAATGTTATAATAATTCTCTGTTTTGTAATACTTCGATTGTTGATAGTGTCCTAGCAAAATAATTTGCAAAACTTATTTGAACTTTGGATTTTTAAAGAAAACCGCTATACTAAAACTTAACAATTTCCACCAAGATTTACAGTTTTAGCATTTTAACGATAGTCCATACCACGGTGGTCTATACAAACACCTAAAATTTCAAAGTAATACGTTCGGTAGTTTAAAAAATTAACTAATCAACTAAAATCGCCAAAAATCGTACAACTGACAGACGAAAGCGAAAAATGGCAACACAATTTAAAAAATTGGGTATTAGGTATTAGACACAAATTCCCTCACCCCTACGAGGAATTTTAAATTTAATTGTATTTTTTTTATAACCCCTACAAGTTAAAACAAAATTTGTGTGGAATAGACAAGTCAGGTATGTTTTTCCATAAAAGAAAATATTAACTAAATAATTAATATTAATGTATATAAATAATTAATATTTGTGATTGTTTGTCAGGTTGGCAACATATTTAAAATTTTGTGACATACCTGATTGTCAAAATATATTTATAACATCAAGTCAGTGGCTGCTATCGTTTCAACCAGTGAACACTTTATGAGGCGTACTCATGTCAAAATTGCCAATTCTGAACTCATACTCGCATGACTGCCAATAATTCAGAATTGCCAACACAATAAAACTATTTCTCTAGTTCAAATTAGAAAAATTGTCAAGAACACTCACCTTCCTGTCTGGTCGACGCGTAAACAACCTCAGCATACAAATCTCCGACACGATCGTCTTCCCCGACCCCGTCGGCGCCCCCAACAACACATTCGAATCGCTGTTATAACAACAATGAAACACCTGACTCTGCACCGCATTAAAATGCGTAAAACCATACAACTTCTCGAACTCCTCATTATGCAAAGCCGTCTTCGGCAACGGCCTCACACTCAAAAACTTCGTCTGGATGGTATAACTCGGCAACATATTGATCTTCTCCAGATCGATCCTGTACGAACTCTCCGCATCTGAAACCCACCACAATCAGCGCCACCTCGCGCACACCCACCAAACTTACGCATGTATTTACTGTTGGCAACCGTCACGAAATACTCCATAGAGTGTGGTTTTTGTAACGGAACAGTGAAAATTAACTCCACCGGTTCTTTAGCGACTACGAGTTTCTTAGTGACCACGAAAGACTCAAAATGGTAGATACTATCATGCGCCGGATCTTCCACCCAAGCGTAGTAGTGTTGCACGTTACCGTGAATACTAGTGTCCCAGCTGAAGTTAGCGTTAATCAGTACCTGAATCCGAATAACACCTTCAGTGATTGGTTTAACCGTAACGTCAAGGTTAACCCGCGGAAACGCCTTACAAAAATGGTGGACACGGTTGGCAAGATGGCGGCTTCTGATTAAATCGAGGACTTCGCGCTCTGACATATCTTGGAGTTCTTCAATCGGTATATTCTGAAGCACGTCAAGGGCTTTGTAGCCCTTAACCTCGAGTTCTTTGAACTGTAGAAGCGGGTGTCGTTCAGCCCACGCTTGTTGTTCGACCATTTGGGACACCTGTAGACACCTATACACCTGCACACTGTAGTTTTTATCCACAGCGATCTCGAAAAGTGCCCTCGCTAGTCTAGTGACGCTCTGCATTATAAATTCGCAGTCGGAAACTAACGAAGATACTCGAATTTTGGCACGTGATACGTTGGCTTGGATCAAAGTTAGTACTTTGAAAACTACAGAGCTGGGGTCAGTGTTGAACTCGAACTGGCTGTAGTCTTCGTGAAGGCGGTCCAATTCGTCGAGTTCGTCGTTACGGACCTGGATGTGCTGGAATTCCGACGCGTTGCTGACGAGGTTGAGAACGTCGGCTTCCATCATGGAACGTTCGAAGTGGTCGTGGAAGTACTTCATAGTTTGATGAGAGATATAGTAGAAGCTGGCGATTCTGCCGTAGTTAGTGGGGCGAAGCTCGCCCAAGGTCGTGTTAAAACGGATCATTTGGGCGGTTTCTAGGGTCACGGCGGCGTCATACAGTTTGCGTTCGAGGTACTGGAAGAGCTTCTCTGGTTCCTAAAGAGAAAAAATACAAACCTGTATTATTTACAACTGTGGGTTTTTCTAAATACTATACCCAAATCTCCGTAAACGTCAACCCATAAACCAGAGGGTTCTTCTTAATCCGGCAATACACGAAAGTGTTCGTGAGCCACTCCATCGCCTCCTTTAAATTAGACACCGTTCCCAGAACCACCTCGGCGTTCAAATGATCGGGAACGTTATTCAAAAATTGGCTTTCAATGGGCGCTTGCGACGTCAACAAAGTCATATAATTCGTCATATTGGGCATACTGGTAATGATCATGCCATGACCTGACGTGTCATACTGAGGTCGTCCAGCCCTTCCAAAAATCTGCATGATATCTAACATATCCATATCGACGAATGACGATTTTTGAGCGTCATACCTCGTCGTCCCCTGCAAAAACAACAATTAACAAATGTAGAATTTTTAATTACGTCATAAATATGTTGTCTACAAAAGATCGTACATCAAGTTGGGTTTGAAATTTAAATTTACTACTTAAAACTCTTAACAGAAGCTGTTTATGGAAATTTCGAAACACGATTTTCACCACTGTTTTCAGTTTACAAAACTCAACACAATAAATCGTACACACTACTTTATTTTCTGCGTGTATACGATAATCGTGCTCAAATGTTAATACGATTAACTAGAGATGATATTTTGAGTACGATTTTACAGCAAAATAGATTCTTAATTTATCAAGAGATTAAATAAATATAAAAAAGTACTTTACTAGTTCTTGGTAATCTTAATAAGACTAGACACAAAGGTAGTTATACATTTCTATAAAATAGTAACAAACATGGTCGAAGGTTATTTCGACAGAACTTCCGTCGCCCTTGAAATACAATAAAACAACCAGCTTTTTCGAAAAATCACAAAATTTGTTTTTTTTTCATGGCAACTCTTGTAAGTTAAAATAAAGATACGTACGTATGTAAGATTAAAGCAACTGTAAAGAAGCGTGCTACGCGTATGTTTCAAATGAGTTTTTGCTTCACAAAATTTTGTGATCAACATTTTTCCAAGGGCACGTAAAATAAAATTAATATTAATATACAATTGTTTTAGAACTTCAAAGTAATCGGTTCTGTAGTCTTATAAATTATCTGTCCAATGAAGTAAAATTGAAAAAGAATAAATTTTCTTGGTATATTTGTAAAACGTCCCATCCATCTTCATCAACTCCACACCAGTATTACAAGCAAGCAGTAGCCCCGCTCAACCACCCCCTCTTCATTCTAGTGACTACGCTTAATATTGTTCAGTCTTATCTTAGCAAGTACTAGTGCCGCCCACCCGCCCTCTATTTTCTTCGGGGATATATGATTTGCCAAAATCAGTCTTATCTTAGCAAGTACTAGCCCCGCCCACCCGCCCTTTATTTTCTTAGAAGGTAATTCATTTGCTATTATATTATTATATTTAATTTTATATCAATTTGGATAATACCAATGTAATACTAACAGTATTGTACTCCTAATATTTCGGGAAAATGGAGCTAGCGGTTTCTGATTAATTCAATTAAATAAATTGACTCATTCTTTAATTTCTCTGGGTCACTTTGTGTAAGCAATTGTAAAAAATATTAATGGAATGAAAATCCACATACAGACTTATCATATTTTGCCCAGTTTGGATAGGATTTAGGGATAAATAAAATAAGTTTTCCATTAATTAATTAATTAATTAGGTAAATAAATAAATATATTTTGATTAAAAATTTACCATGCTTACGACAACTTTAAAACGTCTACAAGATTTCAGAGTATTCGGTTTTGTAGTTTCAAAATTAAATTGTAAAATGTTATACAGTTTTGATTTCTTTTCCAAAAATCTAGATGTCTCGAGTAAACAATCAAGACAGATTCATAAACTGCACGTGTAGGACTATATATCCATATAAAATTTGACAACAATCGGTCCGGTAGTTTCGGAGATTATCTGTCTAACAAAAATCCATACGGCCGGCGGACATACGGAAACGAGAGACCTATGTTGTTGTAGGGGTCATAACACATCGAGAAAATGTGAAAATAGCCAGTCGCCCGATGGACTCGATTATCATGCTTCCTTAGCTTCCTTAATAAAGACGGATTCATAAACCACAAGTATAGACGTATGCTATTTTATGAAATTTAGATACCATTTATTTAGAAAGCAAAATTTAAGCTGACGTCATCACATTGTTGGTGGGGACGATTAGACTAATTTTGGTTACGGTTTAACCATCTACGCGGTATTACTAAAATACATTATATAATTTGACAACAATCGTTCCAGTAGTTTTGGGAATTATCTGCCTAATAAATATTGACACAGACAGACGGAAACGGGAAACCTTTTTTTTCATATTCTGGAGATCATGAAACGTCCAGAAAACATGAAATCACCTTATTACATACTTCTTTTTACAAAATGCGGTGACCATTGTTCATAAAGTATGGCGCTCATAATATAAATGTTGATATCATGTTTGTCACCTTTGTTTTTATCGGATTTTTGGCCCTTTTTTCGACTTTTTTTGTTGCCTTTCTTATCTCCTTATTTGTGTTTTTTTTTGTGTCCCTTTAATTTTAGCTGCCTTTTTGAGCTTTTTTCTATCGGCTTTCTTAAAGAGTTTTTGTTGTAATTTTTTTGTCGCCTTTTTTCTGTCTTTTTCCCTATAAAATGGAAGAATCTAAGATCTGTCCTGTCTTTAAGTCCGGTGATGTAACTAAAGTTGAAAATTACAAATCGATTTCCCTCCTTTCCAATTTTTCTAAAATTCTCCAATTAATTCTACATCCTATCTATTTATATTCTATCTATCTATCTATCTATCCTGTAATATATTTATTTCAGAGAATCAGCATGGTTTTTAAATTGTAGATTAACAATAAACCTTTAACAAAAAAACAACATTTAGCAAAATCAGTCTTATCTTGGCAAGTCCCGCCCACCCTCCCTTTATTTTCTTAGAGGATATGCCATTTGACAATCAGTTTTATCTTAGCAAGTAGGGAAAAAGACGGAAAAACGCGACAAAAAAATGATAACAAAAACTATAAAAAAAAGGCTCAACATGGCAGTAAAAATTAAAAACGACACAAAAACGGCACAAAAAAAAACAAAAACAAAACGATAAATAAGAAGACAAAAAAAGGCAACAAAAAAAACGGTGAAAAAAAGGGCCAAAAAATCCGATGAAAACAAGGGTGGCAAAGATGATACCCACATTTTGCCATATATTTCAGAGAAATATTTGGCCCCGCCCACCCACCCTACATTTCATTCATTTCATTTGGCAAGGATAAGGAAAACAAAAATTTAAAAAGAAAAAAATAGAAAAAAAAGTAATATAAACGAAAAAATCGGAAAATACAGAAAAGGGGAACAAAAACAAAAGGTGAAGAAATCGCGCCAGAAAAGATCAATTTTACTTTTATAAAATTACGTTTTTCCCGTAATTTACATCATAAAGAATTTTTTGTAATATTTCTGGGACTCCCGAAACCCCCGTACATAACGTACTGAAGAGTTAATCCGCCATTTTTCAGACACTCGGTACTAAGCAGAGTATCCGTGCTTCATAAAGTAAGATCTTCGTACGACTTTCAACATTCAAAAACAAGAATTACAAACAATATATACACATTTTCCCATATATTTCAGAGAAATATTTAGCCCCGCCCACCCACCAATTCTACATTTCGTTCATTTCATTTGACAAGGATAAGAAAAACAATAAAAAAGTTAAAAAAAATAGAAAAAAAAGTAACAAAAACAACAAAATGGGAAAAATACGGAAAAGGGGAACAAAAAAAAAGGGTGAAGAAATCGCGCCAGAAAAGATCAATTTTACTTTTATAAAATTACGTTTTTCCTGTAATCTACATCATAATGAATGTTTTTATTATATTTTTGGGACTCCCGAAACCCCCGTACATAACGTACTGAAGAGTTAAACCGCCATTTTCTAAACACCCGGTATTTCAGAGAAATCTTTGGCTCCGCCCACCCTCCCATTCTACATTTCATTCATTTCATTTGGCAAGTATAAGAAAAACAATAAAAAGAAAATAAATAGAAAAAAAAGGTAAACAAAACGGGAAAAATGCAGAAAAAAGGGACAAAGAATTGCGGCGATCATTCATAAAGTATGGCTTCGCATACACTGCTAATACAAAATTTAAAAAAATCTGGATAGCCAAGGTAAAAAGTAAAGGCGGATTCATAAACCACAAATACAAAAGTATATTACTTTATTAAATTTAAATAAAATTTCCTTTGCACGACTTTAAAGTGACGTTAGCACATTGTTGGTGGAGAGGATTAGACAAATTTTGGTTAGCGTTTTACCATTTACATGATATTCCGAAAATACGTTCAAAATTTGGCAACAATCGGTCGGAAATTGTCCGTCTAATAAATATCGACAGACAAGAGGCAGAAGGAAGGTAGGCAACCAATAATTCAGCTCAAAAGATCTACCATCTCAACCGAACGGGAAATTTTCAGATTTTTCAAAACTTTTGCGCATAATTAAATTCAATAATAAGACATGAAACCTGTAAATATGTCCTCTTTAAAAAAAGCATCAGCACAATCTCGTATTTTTACTTCTCGAGCGTAAGCTAAGGAAGTTCTCGACGTTTCATATGTCTGGTAAACGTCATGTACATGTTATAAAATATACTTATACATGTTATTACATATACTTGTAATTTATGAACCTGCCTTGATTTTTAACCCTTGGCATCCCCATGTTTTAGGATGAAACAGTTAAAAAATTCAAAAAACTTGTGAAAAAACAAAGTAAAATGTAGTTGAAAAGGCAACTTTATTTTCAATTTATATTCTTCTAAAAAATAATTTTCAAATTGATTCTGCTTCTTTTTATTTTTATATCACGATAATTTATTTATTTATTTTCATTCGTGTTCATTTAATTACTTTCATATAAAATTCTCAGACGATGAATTATCTAATATCACATTAAGTTTTTTTTTTTAATTATAAGAACACGAAAGTACCATTTATTTCAGTACGTCACAAGGCCGATCAATGTACGATTCATTATAATCACTTTTTGATTTCCTAAATACGACCAACTCACCCTTATGATCACCGCATGCGCGGGCAAATTCACCCCCCAGGCCAGCGTCGTCGTGCACACGATGACCTTGAGCACCCCCTGCCGGAACAGACTCTCCACCTCCAGCCTGTCGCTCCTGCACATCCCCGCGTGATGGCACCCGAACCCGTTCGGAATCAGCAGCTCCAGCTCGCTACTCTTGACGCTGCTCCTGATGGCCGCCTTCTTCTCTGGTGTGAACAACGCCAGGTGCTTGTTGTTCTTCGCGTGAGCCAACAGGTTCTTGGCGACGGTCGCCGTCAGGTTGCGCGACGTCACGAACACCATCACCTGCTGGCCCTCCTTGATGATCGGTATGAGTTTGTTGTAGCAGATGAGGTCCATCGCGTCCTGGTCGTTCTTGTTCTTGACGCCGATGAAGGTCTGCGTGAGCGGGACCGAGCGGAAGCGGTTGTCGAAGAAGAACAGCCCGGTGTAGGGGCTGACCTTGAGGAAGTTGGCCACGTCGAGGTAGCCGGGCAGCGTGGCCGAGAGGGCCACTATGCGGATGATGCTCTGGCTGCTGAGGACCTGGCGCAGGGTGCGCGCGACGAGGGCTTCGATCACGGGGCCGCGGTCGGAGTTGAGGAGGTGGACCTCGTCGAGGATGAGGAGTTTGACGAGGCTCGTGACCTCGGTGTCCACTGAAAAATAAAATCATCAAAAGTAGTATCAATTGATAACGATTAATAAAATTATTAATACCTGCTCCTTTACGTGAAATCACATCCCATTTTTCTGGCGTAGTCACCAGCATTTGGGTCTCAGCTATTTCCTTCTTCGTCAGCTGCATATCACCAGTCAATTCCTTCACCACAATACCAATGGGGGCCAATTTTTTACTAAAATTAGCTACCATTTCTGTTGCCAATGCTTTCATGGGACACACATACACGATCTATACAATTAACAAAAACAATCATTTTCATTCTAGTAAAACTTTCAAAATACTAACCTTAAAATCGTCCTTCCGGATCAACCCTCCATCCATATGCACCTTAATCTGATGTACAATAGCCAACAACGCTATATTCGTCTTCCCGGCACCAGTGGGGGCACAAATTAACATGTTTTCGTTTGTATTATACGCCACTGGGAACACTTCAGACTGTATTCGATTAAACTCTTTAATATCTTTGAAAACTAGTAGTCCTGTTGAATCCAAACTACTAACTTTAACCAAATCTATGTCATCATTTTTCGGTCTTGTGCCACCCGGTAACGTAAACTCGACATGCGTAGAAGCCTCTTTTTTAATGGTGTTTTCTGGTTGTTTCAACGTTACACCATTAAATTTTGCTAAAAGATTTTTCTTTCAACAAGAGAAAATACAAAAGAATTTTAAATTAAAATAGTAAAGTAGGCGCTGACCATTGACAGACAGTGCTGCCACACACGCAGCGTGTATGCCCACTAAACCAACTTAATTAATAATAAATCGATAATTACTTGTGATGGAGACATTCCTCAGCTGGTCATGCACATGGGGGTAATAATCAACTTTATCTGCTCCTTTCCTAAATATTGGCTGGTGTTTAATATAACTTAAATCATCTTCAATGTCAGTCCTGCAAGCCGATAATACAGATTCCTGTAAAACCATCATTTCTTTTCTACTCACAGCAACTCCTGCTGAACCCCCTTCTGTTTCTTCTCCAACTTCCGCAAAGTCTTCGCCAAATTCTTTTCTTCTTCGCTTTGAACAATTACCTGACTTGCCAACGCCGGAGCGTACCGATTATTACTACTTTTCGGTTCAACCCTTCGAACCACTGGCTTCTCCTTCTCTCCATCAGTCCAATCAATCTGCGAGTTCCGGTGCTGGATAATCTCGTTCAAAAACTCGAAAACTTCAAACCCGAACGTGTCCAGAAAATAATTAATCAACTCTTCGTCCGATTTTGGCGATGTTAAACCAGTCAAAACGATTTCTTTGAACTCCTCGAACGGAAACTCCGCCATTTTGGTTTTAAAGTAGTCATAGCGCTTTTTGATGGAGTAGGGGGCCCCAGTGGAAGCCGCCGTGGCGAGGGACATCTCCTCAACCTCTTCTTCCACACAAGGGTCATCTTCGGTCATTGGAATGTAAAAAATTAAATCTAAGGCTTTCTCTTCCGGTTTCTGGATATCAGACTTCACATACTGACTAGGATCTGGTTTCTTTTTAAAAAAGTCAGGTGGGAGGTTGTCGTTGACATAATCTAAGTCAGTTTTGACTCTCTCGAGCTGCTTTTGTGGCAACTTTTTTAAAACGCCTTTAGCGTGTCGAATGTTCGCATTGTAGTCTTTTAAAACTTGTAACAAACACATGTTGACAACGTTGTCTAATAGTCGCTCACTAACTAAGTCTTTAAGATAGGTTCGAAACACTTTTTTGATTTGTTCCATGTGAATAATACAGCTTAATCCAGGGTCGGGCTCCTCATACTTGAAATATCTATATAATCGTTCCAATTTTTGCCTACGATGGGGATTATAAAATGAATGAAAGGGAAATTTGTATACTTACTTTCCAGCAAATTCTGGTTCTGGGGGCGCCACGTTAAGACGTTGAAGGCCGTGAAAGTCCGTAAAGAAGTTTCGAATGGGGCCATTTTGGGGTGTCAACGTGTCCACTGGAATTAATTCCATATGCAAGGGGGTTCTAACCTCAAAATTGAATACTTACCGACAACCATTTTTCTAATGACTTGATGCTAGAATAAGTTAAAATGGAATTATGTACAATAAAACTATTGAAGAGTTAATAAAGTTTTTTTTAATTTGTTACATTGTGCAATATTAACAAACGTAATTGACTAAACTGACGTTTCTGTTGACTGCCACTTGACAGCACCGAAAATCAACAGTTGACAGGTTTATCACAGAGATAAGATGAATAGAAATTCCGCCATCTAGGTAGATGGCCAGAAATACATCAATTTTGACATTTGCATTAATCCCATTAAACATATCGTTCTCATATAGTGTTTTTGTTTTATTTTAAAATGTTACGTTTGTTTTCTTTCATTCTTTTAAAAATAAATTATTACTGACCGCCAAGATTTGTTCGTATTCTAAAAAAATACACTATGGCCCTCGAAGTATTTCCAATTTTTTTTCAAAAATAAAACACAAACGTCCTTGAATAAAACAAACAACAGTGACGCATGTTACACCTACTGTAAACCACTGTAAACAAGTGAATTTCACCACCAACCCTCTCACCAGATACTGTCCAGAAATTCCTTAGAAGAGCTACCAACTACCAGAAAAAGAACTAAACTTGCACAAGGTTGCCTATCTTTAACGATTATAGTAATTTTTTTTTTTTTTTTCAAATTCAAATTATTCAAATGCGATTTCGGGTAGTTGTTTTCTTGCACACCAATCTAAAATTCTTTTTTCGGACTCTTTCAAGAATGAAATAATAAGAGTTTTCGAAGTTTTTTCCACATGTTTAAAAAGAGACTAGGAGACCCTTTCAACCACTTTTAAGCATAAAACACCAAGAACCTTAAAGATATCTGAAATTCTTTCAAAAATACAAGTGGCCTTGAAAAATAATAATAAAAGACACTAATCAGATTCTTTCAAATTCTTTCGAAAACAAAACACAAGGACCTCCCAATTGTTTCAGACCCTATTAGGAATAAAATAACAGGGATTACTGAGTTTTTTTTTTTTAATTCTTTCCAAAATTAAACACAAGGGGTTGGAAAATTGTTTCACACCAAAAAAAAGCTAGGGGTCCCTAAGATTCTTTCGAGCACTTTTAAAAGCAGAACACAATGAATTCCAAAATTCTTTTTTCGGATTCTTTCAAGAATGAAAATAATAATAGGGGTTCCCGTGTTTTTTTCAAGTTCTTTCAAAAATAAAACAAGGGATCCTTGAGCATTTTCCATATTATTAAATAAAGACTAAGCGACCCTGAGATTCTTTCAAGTACTTTTAAAAATCATACACCGAGTTCTCAAGAACTTTTGAAATTCTTTCAAAAATAAAACACAAACGACCCTGAAGAATCTGACATTCTTCAAAAAAAAAAATCACTAGAGAATCCTAAAATACCTAAAATACTTCAAATACTTTAAAAAATAAAACATCAAGGGCCCTGAAGTTTCCTTCATATTCTTAAAAAATTACTAGAGGTCCCTAAGATTCTTTCAAACACTTTCAAAAGCAAAACACAATGGATCTTTAAAAATTATTTTTTCAAGCTTTCAAAAATGAAATACTAGGCGTTCCTGACGTTTTTCCAAGTTCTTTCAAAAATTAAAGGAGGAGTCCTAAAGTTTCTTCCTCATTTTTAAAAGAAGAAACACCAGTAACCCTCAAAATCTTTTCGAATTCTTTCAAAAACTACATCAAATCACAGCCCTAAATTCACATTTACAAAGCCAGCTTGATTCAAGATCTTTTGAAATTCTTTCAAAAACAAAACACAAGGGCCCCCTAAAATTCTTTCAAACTCTTTCAAAAATTACAACAAGGGTTACAAAGATTTTTTTCAAAATTGCTTAAAAATAAAACACAAGGGGCCTTGAAGTTTATTTCGCATTCTTAAAAATAATCACTAGGGGACCCTAAGATTCTTTTCAACACTTTTAAAAATAAAACATCAGGGGTCCTCAAGGCCTTTTAAAATATTTTCAAAAATAAAACACAGAAGACTCTTAAGACTAAAAAAATATATAACCCTTTCAAATTCTTTCAGGAATAAAATAACAAGGGCTAACGAGTTTTTTTCAAACACTTTAAAAAAATAAATACACAGGGCCCTGAAATTTCTTTCACATCCCTAAAAAAACACTACAGGTCCTGAGATTCTTTCAAACACCTTCAAAAACAAAACACAAAGGATTCTAAAAATTATGACGTTTTTTCAAGTTCTTTCAAAGATTGAACACGCGGTCTTGAAGTTTCTTCCTCATTCTTAAAATAGAAACACCAGGGGACCCTCATATTCTTTCAAACACTGCTAAAAATAAAACAGAAGCCTCCAGAATCTTTTGAAATTCTTTAAAAAACAAAACACAAGGACTCTGAAGATTCTGTCTCGATCTTAAAAAAAAAAATGACACCAAGGGTATCCAAAATTCTTGCAAACGCTTTCAAAATCAAACACGGGGAGCCCCAAGATCTGTTCAAATTCTTTCAAAAATCGAACACAAGGTGCCCCAAAGATTCTTCCACATTTAAGAAAAAAACAACATAGAAATCTTAATACTCTTTCCAAATTTTCAAAGAGGAAATACCAGTAGTCCTGAAAATTCGTCCACAATGTTTAAAGAAAACCCTCTCGGAGACTCTTCGATTTGTAGGTAAGCGAAGAAAAACGTTGCTTCTCCTGTGCTTGCCGGGCGGCTGCCCTTACCACTAGACTACGGAGGAGCTTATCTTTCTTCGCTTACTACTACTTATTATTGTGTCGCCACAGATTCTATTTTTTTTTTTTTTCAAAAACCGGACACTGGGGGGGCCTGATCTTTTCATATTCTTTCAAAAACAAAACATAATGGGCCTCAGAAACGGGCACTAAAAACCCCTAAGATTTTTACAATTCGTTCAAAACAAATATCTGGCGTCCTCGAGATTTTTTAGAATACTTATTTAAAAATTAAAACGTGAAGTTTCCCTAAGACTCCTTCCCATTCAACAGAAAATTGGCCCATTCAACAGAAAATTGGCCTATAGTATACTACAGTACGTTATATACGGGGGTTTCGGAAGTCCCAAAAAATAACAAAAAAATTCTTCATGATGTAGATTACGAAAAAAAATAATTTTATACAAGAAAAATTGACAACACTGTACGCACCTAATGCGTGAAGCTAAATATTAGAGAAGATGTTCAAAATTCCTGCCTTGTGCATATAAGTCAGCCTGTAATCTTCTAAATTTGAATCATTTTTTGCAAGAATTAGTCATCAGTATTTGCTAAGGTAAAACTGATTTTGGCAATGACATACTCTCTAATAAAAGAGACAAAGAGAGGGTGGGTGGGCGGGGCTAGTACCCGCTAAGATAAGACTGATTTTAGCAAATGACATATCCTCTAAGAAATCGAACTAAATTATTATAAGAAAAGACACTAAAGGCTCCAAAGCACTTTCAAATAATGTGACTCGATCTTAAAATAATGTGTGGGAAATAGCAACTTTTATGAAATAGAAATGTTGATTGTTAAGAGCGCAGCGGAGAGTTAATCCCTTAGATCATATAATAATCATCTTTGTTATATGCATTTCATCTGTATATGTCTATTTCACTTCCATCCTGGTACCGCACCCGCGCAACAAATCGCTTTTGACAGATGTTTCTTCTAACCTCTCTTTCGAGTTCTTGTACGAAAAACAATTTTAGAAATTAGAACAAAGATTCTATTTTAAGTGATGTAATCATAAAGGATCACAATTGCTGCCCAATAATTTACTATTTCTTTCGTTATCTACTGTGAATTATTTATAAAATCAAGCTGTCAACATCTTTCGTACGAAATTAGTTCACACATACTTCCTAAAATTTAGGCGCGCAAAATTCAAATAGTGATCAGGCAAGGATAGCTTGATTGTAATCCCTCTGTGCAGAAGAGAGATGTGTGACAGGAGGATGTCGTCACAGGCTCTGCCAGGGAAAGAACACGGCGTAGTGGTATCTATTTATTATATGATCTAAGGTTAATCCGCCATTTTCCAGACACTCGGTATATAAAATTAGGATTTCATTACTAAATTAGTGATAAAGCATCTGTTTTCTACGTTCGACGCAAAGTCCCTAAATTAGTACTAATTGTAATAATTAAAAAATATATATATATATAAACACTCTGTGTATGAAAATTTCATTTCATTTCGCATCTCCCCACAAAATATTGTAACAAAGATTTAAAAAATAGCCCTACTACGATTTTTTGTGAACACTTCTATTGTTAAAACAAAATATTCAAGAACATTGGAACAACGTGGCAACGTCGCATCAGAATTAAAAAAAAATATGAATATGTAAAAATATATAGCCCTTTTTATCAAAAAAATGCAAGACTGTATAGTTAAAAATAATTACAACTTCGGGTATCTTCGACTTGAACCCGAACCCCAACTTTTGTTGTTTGCTGATAAGATGAACAACTGTCATGAGTATTTATAGGTTAAACTACGACTTCACATTTTTGGAAAATTCGAATAAATTTCCACCACAACTAGGGTGAAAATACGTACACGTACGTCCCCATTGTATAATAACGAGCGATTAAACTTAGAAAAACAAGATGTCTGTTGCGGAATACTGCGAAAAATTTACAACTTGGGTGAATTGGGCGAAGTCACCGAACCGTACCCCGACTTGTAAAGTTTGTCCGGATTTCACCCCATCGAATTTTCTTATGGGACACCACGCCAGACGTCACCGCTCCTCGTCAATGCCTTTCAACTGCGAAAAAAGTGACATTGAAATCTACTACTGCAAGGAATGCAATTTCCAAACAGAACTGACCCTGCTGTTCAAACAACACGTCGAAACCTATCACTGCATTAAACGAGAGAACGACGAAGATTCGGACTACATCGTCAGAAATTATATTTGTGACAAGTGCAATTTCGAAACCCACTTTTCAATTAAGTGGCTTCAACATAGTGCAGCGTGTCTGAGGAACGAAGACAATTCTCGCAGTTCGGTCAAGGCTAGTGAAAAGACAAAACTGACGTGGTATCGGTGTGATCAGTGCGAGCACAAGTGCAAAGACAAGTACAATTTGAAGCTGCACAAAATCGCGAAGCACTTGGACAGTGACGAAATCCAGTGGTACCACTGCCTGAACTGCCCATACAAAGCTAAACTAAAAAAATGTTTAAAAAGCCACATATATTCGGTGCACTTCAACGAAGACAGTATAAACTGGCACAAGTGCCCAATGTGTCCGTATAAAGGTAAAAGAAAAAGCGATTTGAAAAGTCACCTAAAAAGGCGTCACAGACCGGAAATTAAATGGTACCAATGTACAATGTGCCCCTACAGGACCCAACGAAATTTCGCTTTAAAACGTCACATAAACAGCTACCATTCGCAAGGACAGTACGTTAAATGGTACGAATGCACCCAGTGCTTATTTAAAGCTAAACAAAACTCCAGCTTAACGCGTCACATAAACATGAAACACTTAGACGAAAAGGACGTCAAGTGGTATGAATGTGACAAGTGCCCGTATAAAGCTAAAGAGAAAGGAAATTTAAACAGACACATAAACGCGCGCCATTTGAGTGAGCATGAAATGAAATGGTACGAATGTACGCAATGCCCATACAAAGGTAAAGAAAAAACGACCTTAAACACGCACATAAAAGCGCGCCATTTGGACGAAAAGGACGTTAAATGGCACGAATGCCAATACTGTCCATACAAAGCTAAACAAACGGGGACTTTAAAAAAACACGTGACGGCGCGACATTTGCACGAAAAAGATATAAAGTGGTTTGAATGCGCGCAGTGTCCGTATAAAGCCAAGCAGAACATTCTGTTGAAACGTCACACGATTTTGCGTCACTTGAATGAGCAAGATATTCAGTGGTATGAGTGTAAGGAGTGTACATATAAAGCTAAAGACAAGCTATATTTAAAAGAGCACGTGATTGCGCGGCATTTAACTGATGAGAATATTAAGTGGCATAAGTGCAAGCAGTGTTCGTATAAAGCTAAAACTGCAGCTGGTTTAAAACACCATGTGGATAGGCACCATATGGAGGAAAAGGATATTAAATGGTATTATTGTAAACAGTGTTCATATAAAAGTAAAATTAGGTGTAATTTTAAGAAACATTTGAGCAGGCAGAAGCATTGGAGTGAAGAGAATGTCAATGTAAAGGGTGCAAATTTGAATTTGTTGTGAAGTTTTGAAGTTGCAGTTGATAATAAATGTGTTCCAAACTTTGTAAATTTTGTTTAATTTTTTTGCTTAATTAAAACTGAAAATGTTTTATGTGCGTATTGTGTGTTGCCTATCCGTCAAATTATGACTACTCCAAATACTACGCTCGTATTCAACGTTGAGCAGTTTTTAGCATCAGATCTTGCTATTAATAAAAGCTATATTTAACGATATAAGTGTTCTAAATTTTTAAAATTTGCTTTTATATAGCTTAGTCAAAACTGGTGTTATGCAGGAAGGTATTGTGTGTTGCCTATGCGTCAATTTGTGTACGCTGTCAACTTTGAAATTGATATAACCTAAATTTTGAACTTTCAACTTGCAATAGAATAATTATGTTATATTTTATTCTAAAATTCAACCTGACTAAATTTAACGGTCTATGTGTTATGGTGTCCCGGTTTGAATTTAAATTTCGCGCGAAACCGTACTTGCAGAAATAAAAATAAGAATATCAGCCTAACGTAATGTTCCTGGTGTTTTATTTTTAAAAGTGGCAGAAAGAATTCTAGCGCCCCCTAGTCTTTCTTTTTAACAATGTGGAAGAAACTCAGGATCCCTTGTTTCGTCTTTGAAAGAACTTGAAGAAATCTCGAAAAGTTCTATTTTATTTAATTCTTGAAAGAGTCTTTTAAATTTCATAAGATCTTGAGAGCTCAGAGTGTTTCGTTTTTAAAAGTATTCGAAAGAATGCTAGGCTACCCTAAAATAATCTTAGAACACTTTGTGGCGCGAAATCACATTTGAATAATTTGAATTTGAGAAAAAAAAAATTCAAATCAAAAATCGTTAAACATAGGCAACCAGGTGCACGGTAACGCTTGCTGGATAGTTGGACAGTTAGTAGCGCTAGGGGATTTTAGTTAGAGGGTTGGCTGGTAGGCATCAGAGGGCAGCATGCCGAAACATCAGTCTGAATGTGTTTTTGTGAATGTAAACACGTGGTAAGAGCTAGTTTAAATTAATTAAATAAAAGGGACGAAGCCTTTGTTTAACGTCAATCAATCGTAACTTCTATCAAGACACAGTTTTCCCCCAACTGGGGAGTGTAGCTAATTCTTGCGGCTTCTAATAACTAGGGTATTTAAATAAACAATTTAGTAGGAGATTTCATGAAATTCATTTAGTCAGGATAATAATTCTTTGTTTAATAAATTAGGAATAAGTTTCTGGATGCATATGCGTAAGTGTTACATTATATCACTTCTTAATTCTTCACACAAGATTGCGAATAGTTCATTTACGGCAGTTAAACCAAATTCATTATACTGCGAACTGGCGGGGGGTTAAAATAATTTCTTCCCTTACACGGTTATCATTGTTATTATCGTCGTTATTATGATTAGATCACTGAGGCATGTCCTCGCAACGCTAAAGATTGATTACCTCATCGATATTTTAGAAAAGTTGTCTAAAAATCCGCAAAAAATTCTGGAATGGAGATATGAACGTGCTGTTTCCAAAAATATGGCATGCTGATGCTTTGGTACCAAGATTTTCGAAGTATTCGCTTTCAAATTCAAAATTTTTTAAAAATCCAAAAATTTGTCATTTTATTTGATGATTCTGAAAAGACGGCACGAATTCTTCGAAAATCAACACGAAAACGACTTTTACACGTCGCAATCTACCAAAGTTCCCTCTAAATAATTTTCGAAAATGATCAAAAAAAGGTCGAAAATTTAAATTGAAAAATCGACATTTTGTAAAGGTTGTCTAAAAATTCATAAAAAAATTCTAGAATATAGATCTCAATATGCTGATCCGAAAAAAAATTGCGTGTTTACTTTTTCCGACCAAGATTTTTGAAATATTTGGTGTTAGAATCAAATATTTTGAGAATTCAAAAAATTACCATATTCTAATAATCTTTATTTTCCAACGGTATTACATCCAATTACAGGAAAAAGAGAAAAGAAAACTGGACAAAATTAAAAATTATTTATAACAATTTCAAGAGCGTAAAACTAAAAACAAAAGAAAAAAAAAACAAAAATTTTGACGATTCGGGAAAGATGATACGAATTATCTCAGAACTAAAGCTGAAAATAACTTCTAGATACTTCAATTTACAAAAATATCCCTTTAAGTAATTTTCGAAAACGGTATAAAAAGTTGGGACCACGATTTTCGAAATATTCGCTTTCAAACTCAAAATTGTTGAAAATTCCAAAAATTTGCCATATTTTATTTGACGATTCTGAAAAAACGGTAAGAATTTTCGAACAACTGAAGCCGGAAACGACTTCTAGAGGTCGCACTCTACAAAAAATCCCTGTAAGTAATTTTCGAAAATTGTCAAAAAAGGTCAAAAGGCAGGAGTATTGAAAAATCGACATTTTCGAAAAGTTGGTTAAAAATGCGCAAAAAATCTAGAATATAAATGTCGGTGCGGTGATTCAAAAAACAGTGTACTGATGCTTTCGTACCAAGATTTTCGAAAATATTTGCTTTGAAATCCAAATATTTTGGAAAGTCTAAAAATTTTAAATTTATTTTGCGATTCTGGAAAGATGATACGAATTATCTCAGGACTAAAGCCGAAAATAACTTCTAGATACTTCAATTTACAAAAAAATCCCTTTCAGTAATTTTAGAAAACGGTAGAAAAAAGTTGGGACCACGATGTTCGAAATATTCGCTTTCAAACTCAAAATTGTTGAAAATTCCAAAAATTTGCCATATTTTATTTGACGATTCTGAAAAAACGGTAAGAATTTTCGAACAACTGAAGCCGGAAACGATTTCTAGAGGTTGCACTCTACAAAAAATCCCTGTAAGTAATTTTCGAAAATTGTCAAAAAAGCTCAAAAGGCAGAAGTATTGAAAAATCGACATTTTCGAAAAGTTGCTTAAAAATGCGCAAAAAATCTAGAATATAGATGTCGGTGTGGTGATTCGAAAAACAGCGTACTGATGCTTTCGTACCAAGATTTTCGAAAATATTTGCTTTGAAATCCAAATATTTTGGGAAGTCTAAAAATTTTAAATTTATTTGACGATTCTGGAAAGATGATACGAATTATCACAGAACTGAAGCCGAAAATAACTTCTACATACTTCAATTTACAAAAAAAAATCCCTTTCAGTAATTTTCGAAAACGGTAAAAAAAGTTAAAAAATTTCATATTGGTAATCGAGATTTTAAAAAGTTGCCTAAAAATCCTCAAAAAATTTAGAATAGAGATGTCGACGTGCTCGTTCTAAAAATATAGCGTGCTGGTGCTTTGGAACCAAGGTTTTCGAAAATTCGCTTTCAAATTCAAAATTTTTGAAAAATTCAAAAATTTGTCATTTAGTTGGACGATTCTGAAAAACGGTACGAATTTTCGAAGAAATAAAGCGGAAAACGACTTCTACATGTCGCAATCTACAAAAAAATGCCAAAAAATTTGCAAAAAATTCTATCTAGAATGTAGATGTTAACGTGCTGAGTCGAAAAATATAACGTTCAAATGCTTTCCGACCAAGATGTTCGAAATATTCGCTTTCAAATCGAATTTTTTTGAAAATTCTAAAAATTGTCACATTTTATTTGACGATTCTGAAATAACGGTAGGAATTTTAGAAGAACTGAAGCCGAAAACAACTTGTTGATGTCGCAATCTACAAAAATTCGAAAATATAATTTTCGATAATTGTCGAAAAAAGTTCAAAAATTTCATATTGAATACTAATGGCCTAGTTTCGGACGGCATGCTCGTCCTAGAGATGTGTAATATACTGTACGGATAGGCTTGCGATAGATAGAATCACCGTCGTGGGGGGAGAACAGCCCCGACCGGTAGCCCCAAACTCCGCTTGTGCTAGAACGCCCCAGGGGTATTTTTGTTGTGCTCTGGTTAACTGCCGTAACTTTAAAAATCTGCCGCCACACGCCCGTAATGACTTGTGTATTTGCATCCAGTTACTTTAATTCAAATTTTGCTTTGTTTTTGAGTTAAAAATACTGTATCTCTATTTCTAATACTTACCGATGCAACTTTTTGGATCATCACCAAAAGGTAAATATGTATAACCATTCATGCTCTAAAGTGTATTCCTACTTAATCTTCAGAAATAACTACTCTGTTACAAATAAAGGACAAATAATAACTACAAGACTCGCCTCAATTAAATTTTTATTGTTCGCCCATTATGTATCGATGACTGCTCAGAAAATCAATTACCGACATACAAAAAATTATTTAACAAAGTTTTAGCCGACCATAGCTACAAATAAGTTAAAAGTTATTAGTCGCAAAATTCGAGATTCAAAATCTGCCCGACTTTGATTTATGCAATCTCTCCATCACGGAAATCGTGGAGAAAAAAGTTTTTGCCATCTGTAATCAAATAATTTAATTTTCGCCAGTATTTTCATTCAGGTGACATACTCACCTGGACCCCCATTTCATAGTTAACGGAAATATTTTCGGAAAATTTTATTTTAACCGGTTTCGACAAATGTATCAGCAACATCAAATACATTTTCTTGTTGGATTCGTCCCAGTCGTACCACTCGACTTCAACTAATGCGTTGGATATTTCAATCTTCTACAAAAATTGTTAAATATTAAAAAATCAAATTTTGACACTAGCCAGAGAAACGATTCTTTAATTCGTCTGGTCACTGTATTTTCTGTTCTTACATAATCTTCGATTGCTTGACCAATACCTGCAGTCCCCAAGAGTGTAGTGAACGACATAATCGTTATCGCACAGATACGAAAGTACTGATCCCTTAGCGAACTCTCAAACTAATTTGGTTTTCACTTAAAAAATAAAAGACACCGTGACTTTACCCAAAAGTAAAAAACGACGATACTCATCATAAACGCAGAGCCCATAATTTTCAGGGGCAAAATTATAAACTGCGTCCGTTTTACTGCCTCCCAGGCACTACTGAAAATGATCAGATTTTCATCAGAAAATGCTCATATTTGACGCTACTTACTTCTCACTGAACGAAAGACAACTTAAGAAACTTTTCAGATTTTTGGTGATTTCCCTCTGATTCGTTGCCTTTGTAGCGTTATTTTTTTTTATTTGTTGCAGGCACCTCTGAACCTCAAGATTGACAACTTGATACGAGTACAATAAGTTGAAGCAAGCTATAGTCGCGCCCACGAAACTTAAGGGAATAGTGAAACACCTGCAAAGAATTTTAAAAAAATTGTTCCATTTTGACAGATACATGTTTGATAGTTTGAAAAGAAAGAAAAGATTATCGTCATCTTTGGTTGGAGTCATTAGCGAAATTGCCACTAGTACGGAAGTCATCGTAGTCCAAATTACATAAATGAAGGAGTAGAAGGCACTTTTTTTTGCTCTTTCCGGAACGGATTTGATGATGCTTTGGGGATTATTTTGCTCCACGCTTTCTGCGATGGATTGTACCGTCTCTGTTACCAAAGGTTGTGCTAAAAGACAGGTTAGTATCTATGAACCCAAAAATAATTTTGTAAAGTGGCAAAATTTTGGACGTTTTACGTATAATGCGACGAAATATGACGGCCCATCCTGAACGAAATAATCGACTTCGAATCGAGCTAAAAATTGGTACGTTTGAAGGATCACTGCAAAAATTACACCCAGTTTGGACGAAAATAGCACGAACTGCACACATTTTAAATGGTACACATCGATGACTAAAAACCGACAAATCTTCATATAATCGTCATCTACAAACACTAAGTTATTCAAATTTGCGCCTTAATTACAGAAATCTTACAATTCATCTTGTATCACAAAATGCTTTGGGTGTTAGAAGAAAACCCACACTGAACAGAAGCACGTAGACATTAATTAGAATAATATCGGTTTTTTAAATTCAAAAACTGTTTCCATCTATTATTAAGCAGTGTAATGGTCGTTAAAGCGTAATCGATAGTTTTTTGTATACCTAAACCATAAAACAAATAACATTATTAACAGAAAACGATTTCTCATTACGCGTAAAACATCAAATATAAATCTGCATACGAATTTTTTACTATTTGAAACTTGAAGAAAGCTTACAATAAAAGAGTTTTAATTTTTAAATAATCTAAAAAAATATCGAGGACACCTGATATTTGTTTCGAAAGAGTTGGAAGAATCTTAGTGCCCTTTTTTAAGAATATGAGAAAGTCTTCAAGGCTCATTGTGTTTTGTTTTTGAAAGATTATGAAAAGATCCGGGGCCCCTAGAGTCCGGTAAAAAAAAAAAAAAAAATAAATAAATAAAATCCAAGAGTTTCCGTGTTCAGTCTTTGAAAGAATTTGAAAAAACGTTATCATTTTTCTTCAGGGTCTTTTGTGTTATATATTTTTTTAGTCTTAAGAACCTTCTGTGTTTTATTTTTGAAAATATTTTAAAAATCTTGAGGACTCCTGATGGTTTATTTTTAAAAGTGTTGGAAATAATTTTATGGTCCCCTAGTGCTTCTTTTAAGAAGCGAAATAAACTTCAAGGCCCCTTGTGTTTTATTTTTAAGCAATTTTGAAAACAATCTTTGTAACCCCTGTCGTTATTTGAAAGAATTTCACAAGATCTTGAGGGCTCTTGGTGTCTTCTTTTTAAAAGTGTTTTAAAGAATGTTAGGGTTCCCTGGTGGTGTTTTTTTTTAAGAATGCGAAATCTTCAGATCCATTTGCTTTATTTTCGAAAGAATTTGAAAAAACCTCGTGAACCTCTCTTATATTGTTCTTGAAACAGTCTGAAAGAATTTTAGTAATTCCTTGTGTTTTATTTTTGAAAGAATGGAATAAGACAAAACAAAATAAACAATATTTGAACGACATATTCAACTGACTTATTAATGTAAAGTCGCGATCTTTTCTATAGAACCACTCCCTAGTGTGAATTTTCAAAATTTGTTTGGTGTAAGTGACCTTGACGGGTTTCTGGGGGAAAACATATGTGTCAAAAATTTGACAGGTTAGATGGCCCCATTGTCAATGTAGATATTTTATTTTAATAAATAGATGAACAGAACATACAGTCTGCACGGGATACAGTGCGGCATAGCTGAGGGCAACCGAAACATTCGTGTTGTGCTAATTTCGATTGCCATGTCAACTACCGCTACCAACTGCGTTCGGCGTAAAGTACTAGATGACAGGGCTACCAACTTGACTTTTTATCGAGTGGTTCCGTAGAAATGACCGCTACTGTACTGTTAAAATTAAAAATGGTGTCAAGCTGTAAGGTGTATTGTGTGTTGCCTACACATCATAATACAAGTTGTCAATTTTAAATTTACATAACCTAAAAGCACAAATCTTTAATTTTTCTCATGTACAAATACACTAACTAATTACAATTAATTGTTGTAAACACGAATAATTTTTCTTAATAAACCACGTCACTAACAGCTGTTTTTAAATATAAATCGAAAAGCAAAGAAAGCACTTTTGAGGTTAGGTTTGTGAGTGATCGAATCAAAACTTTGGTAACACAATACTCTTTGAATCTACGTTGTAATAAACAAGTTAACTGTTTCAGGTGAACTTGGAGCGCCAAATCTGAAAGCCCCCTTGCAAAAATTTGTCCCCACATCAATTTTTCTATGGAAAACCACGTCAGACAGCACTGGCCACAATCAACCCATTTCAACTGCGAAAACAGCGCCATTGAACTATATTTCTGCAAGGATTGCAATTTTCAAACCGAACTAACAATTTTTTTGAAACAGCACGTCGAAAAAAGCCACATCATTAAACCGGAAAATGTAGCATTAAATGTAGATTACAATATTCAAACGTACGTGTGTAAAAAGTGCGCTTTTGAAACACACTCGGTGATCAAATTGCTTCAACATAGTGTGCAGTGTCTAGACCATAATCAACCAAATTCCGACAAGAATATTTGGTACACGTGCGACCACTGTGCCTACAAGTGCAAATTTAAATACTCCTTAAAAATACACAAAATTGCCAAACACGTCACCGACGACGAAATTCAGTGGCATCAGTGTCTGAAATGTTCATACAAAGCGAAATTAAAGTTTCTTTTAAAGCGTCACATAACCCGGCGCCATTTAGACCAACAAGATATAAAATGGTATGAATGCAAAATGTGTCCGTATAAAACTGAAAGAAATCCGTTTTTGAAACGCCACATAAGCAAGCACCACTCTGGTGAACCATACATTAAATGGTATGAATGCACGCAGTGTCCATACAAAGCTAAACATAACTCACATTTAACAGTCCACATAAATTTGCACCATTTGGACGAAAAGGACATTAAATGGTATGAATGCAACAAGTGTTCATACAGAGCTAAAGTTAAAGGAAATTTAAATCGGCACATAAATGCTCGACATTTGAGCGAAAGCGATATTAAATGGCACGAATGCCCGCATTGTCCGTATAAAGCTAAAGAGCGAACGACTTTAAATAAACACATACGAGCGCGACATTTAGAAGAAAAGGATGTTAAATGGCACGAATGCAAACATTGTCCTTATAGAGCCAAAGAAACGACGACTTTAAAAGAACACATGAAAGCGCGACATTTAGACGACAAAGATATCAAATGGTATGAATGTGAACAGTGTTCGTATAAAGCTAAACAGAAAGAGCAGTTGAAACGGCACACGATTTTGCGACATTTGGATGAACAGGATATTAAGTGGTACGAGTGCAACCAGTGCCCATATAAAGCTAAAGACAAGCTTTATTTAAAAGAGCACGTGATTGCGCGTCATTTGGATGAAAAGGATATTAGATGGTATGAGTGCAAGCAATGTTCGTATAAAGCTAAGTCGGCTTCTGCTTTGAAACATCACATAAATAGGCTCCATGTGGACGAAAAGGATATTAAGTGGTATCATTGTGATCAGTGTCCGTATAAAACTAAGACTAAGTATGATTTTAAAAAGCACATGAATAGGCGCAGTCATAAGCGGAATCGTTTAAAAGAGGAGGATATAGATGTAAAAGACGATGTCATAGGGATGGATATAAATCCTATTTGAAATCTCTTGAAAATCAAAGTCAAGACTTTGTTAGTGGTGAAAGATGTTCACAGAAATATAAATATTCTCTGTTATTTAGAATTTTTTAGATTGAGAAATTTAAAAAAGTAATAACTGAAGTAATAAAAAATGAACAATGTTCCAACTGTGACAATAAAGAGCTTAACATTTTTTTAGTATTGTGTTTGTTTGTTATCTTGTAGCAATTATGTCCCTGATTATCCAAAATGGGAAAACAAATATCTTATTAATTTGTTAATAAATGTATGATTTCGCTTTAGAAATATCGTGTTAAATACATAAGTTCATTAATGATTAAAGATATCTTCTGGAGTATATGCAACCAAACATACACGTCGAAAATTCAAATTGGAATTTTTATCGTCATTAAAGTAACTGGACGAACTCGCCAAACGTTTACGACATTTCGATTAGAAAATCGCTAATAAACTGATTATTACTAATTTGTGTTATCTTTTATGCGTGTCGTGACTTGAATGTTGGATGTATATTTTCGGATAATCCTCTCACAGCGATGTGTGTATTAAAACCACGGTTTAATGATTTCGATAGTGCCTAATATATGTACGTCTGTTGTGTATATTTCTTGTGTGTCTTGTTTATATGATCTGGGTTTGGATTCAGTAATTTTGATGAACTCAGGTCTATTTAATTAGTATCTAAGTTAAAAATTATGATTTAACATTTTTTAAATTCTTTGTTGTTTAAAACAACCTAGTTATTACAGTTTTTAGTTAATTGTTTTAACTTTGGAAGTACAAGTTTCAGATTAATACGGTGAGATGATAAGAGAATTGGGAATTTTCGGAGTGTCAGTGATAACAATCGATAATAATAGATTTTCCAATTCGGCTGTTATATTTTGAAACTGAAATTTATGATATTGAACTGAACAAATACAATGTTAGTCCTGATTGATTAAAATATCATCCTTTATTTTTCTTCCCAAAAAATAAAATGAAATGCAAATTTAATCGAAAAAAAAAGTGATAAATTAACACAAATATAAACATACAAGGCGAAAAATTGAAAAATTCAAAATTGGCCTTGGCTGTAATTGTCTGACAAAAGGGAACCCTACGTTGTGTTTTGAAAAATGGCGGGATGCGTTCAGATGCAAATGTGGACCCCAAGGTTGGCAAGAGCCGCTAAATAAAACACAAAATGTATGGAGGACACAAAATTATTTATTCCTCCATTGACAAAAAAAAAGTAAAAAAAGCTGTGTGCGAGGGTGACTCGTGACGTGTCCTCGAATCGCAATCGCTTTTCAGCTCCAAAAAAAAAAAACTAATTGAACTTTGAATGAAATTTAAATGAAATCAAATCAAACATTCTGAATCAATGGAAATATTTGAAAATCACAAATTTAATAAAACAAAGCAAAATCTGAAGTAAAGTAACTGCATGCAATTACACAAGTTATTACGGGTGTGTAGTGTCAAATTTAAAATTATGGCAGTCAACAAGAGCACAAAAATACACATAGGGGCGTTCTAGCACAAGCGGAGTTTGAGGCTACCGGTCGGGGCCGTTCCCCCCGCGACGGTGCTTCTATCTATCGCAACCATTGCCGCCTAGCACGAAGAACATGCCTAGAAGAGCAGGCTGTTACGGTCGCAAACTCGCAGTTGGGTCCCGGCTAAGTCGCGCGATAAATCTCGTCAGCTCGACTAGGAACCGCGCACTCCGCTTTTGCCACGTTTTCTGTGTTATTTAACCTCAAATTCGTTTATGTGTTCAATTCTTATAACTCTGATATTAACGACAACTGAACAAGTGTTAAAGTTTCAAGAAGAGCAATAAACAACATTTAAATCCGACACTTGTTAAGTTGAGAACAAATTAGAAAACTGTCCGCGTGGACCTATAAACATTTACATTATTGTTGTTAAATGGTATTAGAATCATCAAGAGTCTGAGAATTAAAAAAATAAAACAAAAATAGCACGTGTTGACGAATCCGTCACATGTTTACAACAGTTTAAACTAGAAAATTGTTAATAAACTGATTTTGCGTTAATTCCACTCGTTGAAACTAGACGGTGGCGTCGAATGCGGTTCATTGTTGTTTAAATAATCGCTCTTTTAAATTTAATTACAAATTACATTTGAATTGTCCATATTTGAAGAAAACCGGAGTTAAAAAGTTTTCAATGTAAAATTGTATTTTACGAAGTGTCAAATCTGTCATTTATGTATTTGATGCAGGCTTTTCTTAATTTTTTATAAAATACCAAATAGGACATTTATTTGTGGACAAAGATGTGTGAAAAAATCACTAAAGTATTTGCACACACTTATACTTAGAAAAAATAATAAATTAGGATAACAGTTACTGAAATCATTTTTTTCATATTTGAAGATCTACCGTGTCGTGTCTCGGTTAAAATTAAATTGAGCCCTAAGAAAAAAAAAACAAATCTGGGAAACACCGTAATTTTTTTCAATAACGTAGATAAGTGAATTTAAAACACGTAGTAGAGAGCTGGATGGTTTTCCCTAAATTGTTATTTACGTTTCATATCTTCTTATGTGAGAGTTTGAAAATATTACATTGTTATGTAGTGTTCAAAATTAGACGTACTTAATATGCGTCTGTTGTGGTTATTTGGGTTGGACTGGATTCACGAGGTAATCTTGGTGAACTCAGGTTGGTTTAACCGTTCCTATTATAAATCACTTTAAAGAAGAAGTATTTTATTCCAAAAAATAAAATACATTGAAATTTCGGATCTAATCTATTGCAGTATGACAGTTTTTAAAATTTACACAGGACGTTTGACGAGTAATAATAGTCACAGAATTGGAAACACAAATCAGAATACATTAGCAAATAATTCGTAGACGTACCTACCTATTTAAGAATATTATTAAACAGAGTTACACATCATAATTTTGAAAAAAAGCATCTTCACTTTTAAAGTTTACAACAGAAAAAATCTATATATTGTGGTGACCGAATTTGAATTAAAATTTCGCGCTGAAAATTTCTAACAGCAGCGCGAAATCACGTTTGAATAATTTGAATTTGAAAAAAAAAATCAATAAAAAAAATCGTTAAACATAGGCAACCATGTGCACGTTAACGCTTTTTGGGTAGTTGGTAGCTCGCTAGGGGATTCTAGTTAGAGGGTTGGTAGGGTAGAAGATGGTAGCTTGGTAGAGAGGTGAAAGCTTCATCGTTGGTTTGGTTCTGTGTGTGAAAGCATGGTGAAAAGACGCGATAAGTTAGCTGGATTTAGTTGGTTTGGTAGTTAATAAAAAAGAGGAAGCCTTTTTTTAATGACAATTAATTGTAACGACGAGGCCGCCACAGTTTCCCCAACATGCATAGCTAATTCTTGCGGTTTCTAATCGAAAAAAATGCTTATTTTCGACCGACGCTAAAACGTTGTGTAAATTTGATTTATTCATTATAAATTCACAGTTCATGTTAGGATTTTAATCGTTAACTGGTGCTAACACAATTTAACAGACATTAGATGTATTTAGATAAATACTTGCTAGATTTCATGAAATTCACTTATTAGCCAGGACTCGTTTGATTTTGTTTGTCTCATTATGAATGAGGTTTCTGGATGCTAATATGTATAACACTTATGTAAGTGTTAGATTATAACACTTCTTAATTCTTCACACAAGATTGCTAATAGTTCATTTACGGCAGTTAAATTAACCTAATGTTAATGTTGCCCCACTGTCGAAAATTCATAATATCGTGGACTGACGGGGAGGGGAGGGGGATTAAAGATTTCTCTCCTTATGCAGTTATCATCATTATTATCTGCAACCCCTGATACATTTTCTGTTTATTTATCATGTGTTTTGTTTGGGGTAAACAGTCCACGATATAAACCCTGAAAACAAATTGTTTTAAGTAACCACTCACTTGGATCTTGGTATAATGTAACATCGTATAAATTTGTTTGAATCGTTGATAAAGTGTGGCATAATTGCACATAATGTAAACTCTTTGTTTGAATCGTTGATAAACTGTGGCAAATATTAATCTCATGTAAATTTGTTAGCTTTGCAATTTTTACCCCATAAAATATTCCTCTATCTCATAATTTTAACTTCAGCAATTTTCTTTGTTGTATAATTTAAATTAAACGTAAACTACACAGTCTACGCCAGTTTTATTTCACGCCAGACTTTTGTTTTTATAAATCTTTGCTAGTTTTTTTTATGTAAATACCTTGTTGATGAATGTTTCCATCATATAAAGTATCTGATGTCCAATCTTAATCTTAAATAAGAATTATTTGTTGTTTAAAATTTCACAAGATTGTATGGTCAATTTAAATGTTGTTTACTGCTCTTTTTGAAACTTTGACACTTGTTCAGTTATAGTTTAATATCAGAGTTATAAGAATTGAACATATAAATGGAATTGAGGTTGAATAACATAGACACACGTGGTTGAAGCGGAGTCCGCGGTCCCTAGTCGAGCTGGCGGGATTTATCGCGCCATCTGCACAAAAGATGCAGGTTAGAATGGAATTCAGGGGCGGTCGAGATGACGTGTCAGGCGATGACAGCCCAGGCCAAATTTTTGAATTTTTGATTTTCGCGGGCTTTCATTTTTTTTTTCACATTTCAATTTAAGGCGGGATGTATTTGGGTTATCACAATATGATCGTTTTCCGGGTTGGGACCGTGTCAACTAAGTTTTTGGGCTAACGGAAGTGTGCGAAACGATCATATATTGACTCCGACCGTGGAAGCCTCCGAAATTAGAAAAAATCTAAATGCGTTACATCTTAATTTTCATCTTATAAATGGTCACATTTAGGTAATTTCGCACCCTGATAGTGCGCAGGAGCACAGTTCTGTTGAAACTATAAATTCTGTCGTGTTTCGAAATTAACATTTCCGAGTAAAAATGGGAAATTAGTTTGAATAATATTTAAATAAGAATTTGCGTTCATAATTTCAATATACAGAACCACACCGGCATGCCGAAAAACTTAAAACCTGCCTCATATTAGACTCTCAACCTTATTACTCGTAAATGACCCTATACTATTACGATTGTTTACGAGTGTATTATGTACCGCCTAGTGAAGCTCCTTCTAGACATCTTTGAAGTAGAAATGTGTTCTGTGCCCTTGACATGTTGACTCTGAAAA